GGAGACACGGGTGACTGCAGGGCCCGAGTCTGCCACCGTGAGCTCGGGGTGGCTGGGCCGGGCCGCCCGGCCGTCAGTGAGGTGTGTGCGGCGGCAGCCCGGCACCGGGTGGAGGCAGGGTGCGTCTGAGCCCGGGCAGGCCCGGACACCCAGGCGATTTGCCAGGAAGGCGGCTCAGGCTGCTGCCACCCCACCTCCTGGAGCATCACTTCTCCCCCGCAGCCGGTGCCTCCGGCTGTGGGGTGTCGAGTGGGAAGAAGTCATCTGGGCGACAGACAGAGCCGCGTGGCATGCTAGCTGCTCCTGAAAGTGGACAGACGCAGCCTCGCTCAGCGTGGCCCAAAGGACAGCGACGGAGAAACATCCCTGGAAGCAGAGCTGAGCGACGCCTTTAGTTGTCCACTGTGCCCAGAGGGAGGCGGCCAGTGATACAGATCTGTGCTAATTTGGGCGGTTGCGCGCTGGCTGGTGTGAGTCAGTGGACTGAGCACTGGTCGCTGGTTCGAGTCCCCGTCAGGGCACACGCCTGGGTTGTGGACCAGGTTCCCAGTAGGGGGCGCACAAGAGGCAACGACACATTGATGTTTCCCTCTCTTTCTCCCTCCTTTCCTCTCTCTAAAAATAAATAAATAAATATTTTTAAAAATAAATAAAAATGACAGTCGCTAACAGTTTGGCTGGGCGGCCAGGGACTCGGGAAAAGCAGAACACCGGGAGTGTGGTGACGAGGCAGTGTGGGGAAGTGGGCGCAGACACGCACGCACCTGTGGGCCGCGGGGACGCCGCTCCAGGGGTGGCCCCCGCTCCCGGCGTGGCCTCGCGGGTGAAGAAGGGCGCTGCGCAGAGACGGCTGGCGGCCCTGTCTGCATCTGCCCGGGCTCTGTAACCAGGCACCGCGGCGGCTTGGAGCAGCAGGAAGGGACATCTCCGAGTTCCAGAGGCTGGAAGGCCGAGGCCAAGCGGTTGGCAGGGTTGCTTCCAGCGGAGCGCGGGGGCGGGGCCCGGTGGGCGGGGCTTCCTGGCCAGGTGGGTGGGGCTTCCCGGCCCGGTGGGCGGGGCTTCTCACCGGGCTGCTGCAGTCGCCCGGAAGACTTGGGCGTATATGCCCCCGCTTATTCGCATCACCCCGTTTCTGCCTCCATCGTCACACGGCACTCTCCCCATGTGCGTGCTGCCTCCGAGTGTCCCCTTCCCGCGAGGACATCCGTCACAGTTAATTAGCACCCAGCCTCAGGGCCTCGTTCCAACTTGACCGCGGCGAAGGTCCCAGCTCCAAACAAGGCCGCGTTCCCGGGCACGGGGCTGCGGGGCTTCTGGGTGAATTTGGGGGGCACATAATCCGGCCCACAGCAGCCTCTCTCCCCCGTCACCCCAGTGCTTTCTCAGCGAGCCCACCCACAAGGCGGCTTTGGCGACAGGGGGCGGGTCGTCCGCGGGCTCAAGAACAGGGACCTCTCGGCCCAGGCCGCTCCGGCTCCTGCCCAGCGTCTTCTCTGACGTCGGCAGAGACCGGCACGCAGCCGCCGTTGACCCCACCTCCGGGGGCGCAGCCCAGCCCCGCTGGCGGGTTGGTTACCCTGGACCCTTGCATCCCCGGGGCGGGGGGGGGGGGCGGGGGGCAGGGAGGCAGCCTCCCCGGACGAGGTCACTCTGGAGGTGCGCTTGGCCTCCTTACCCATACTGCTTCGGTCGAGGCCACCGCCCCCAGACCCTCGGGGGCCTTGTCTGTCGCCACCGTGTTCCCCAGGGCGTGGCCTCCGGCCCAGGAGGTCGCTGCTCTGCCCAGGAGGCGCGGCAGTGCCGGCTCAGAGCCACGGCGCTCGCTGAGCTGGCCGAGCAGCCCGTCTCCGGGAAGCGCCTGGCTGACGGAGGCCGGGCACTCACGGGGCATTTGGCTGCAGTGCCGGTTGGGGAACAGCGTCCAGGAAAGGCGGGGCTGTGCCGGGATCTCCACCCACTGCTCTGGTCGCAGGGTCGCGACCTCTCGGGGTCGCGCCGGCTGTGTCCCCACCAGCAAATGCAGCCCCTCCAGGACCTCAACGGCAAGGGTCCCCTGTGTGGGAGCCCCCTGTCCCCGCACGGGCTCACCCTGGCGGTGCCCCAGCAGTTGTCCGCCCCACCCTCCTGCCACCCAGGTCCTCTCCGGCGACCTCGCCTGAGTGCCTCGCACCCTGGCCGTCCTCCCGCCCTGGCACGGCCTCCTGACCCAAACCCATGTCCTCGGTGAGTCCCACTCCGGGACTCCGGGCCGGCACCTGGACCTGAACTTGGCTGAGAACCCACTTCCGACAGGCGCTGGACATGGCTGGACGGCCCCACCCGAGCCCCGCGGCCTCGCCTCGAACCTCCAGGGACACTTGCTCCCACGTCTCAGTGGACGTCAGGTCGTGACCTGTCACGTGCGACACGCTCCCACGGCTCCGCAATGAACGCCCGGAACAGGCTGTGCCCGCCGCTGCCCCCTTCCTCCGCCCCACCCCCAGCACACCCGCCGCGCGCGCGCGCGCGCGCCCACCGAAGGCCGCGGCTGCTTCCGGGAGCGTTCTGCAGGCCGCCCGCCGCGCGCCTGGGCGGGCACGAGCGCCGCTGTCCCACTCTATTTTATCTCATGGCAGCACCCCCAACCCTGGCCCGCACCCCGCTTTCCTGCCCTGAGCGTCACCCGTTGGAGCCACTCCCGCAGCGGAGCGCGGGGAACTTCCCTGTCCTCGCTCGCAGCTGCCTGGCACTCCATTGTTCGGGCGCCTGTCCACGTTCAGGGGGTTTCCGACGCTGGCAGCTGCACCCGCGCCAGGTGCGCTGGCCAGCTGAGACACACCCATCAGGGCTGTAAGAGTTTTTATGCGTTTATTTGAACCAAAGTGAGGGCAGTTGCCGGGAAGCAGAATCTCCATGGGCTGGGAAAAGGCTCCCAAGAACGGCGATTTCGCACCTGGTTTTATACGTTAGGATCGAAGGAGGGGGCACAGGGGCGTCAGGGGAGTCCGTGGGGGGGTAGATGAGGGGCAGGAGAAGGCCGAGCAGGAATCTCCGGGACTGGGTAAGGAGTGAGGCGGAGAGATACACCCTCCCTCTACGCGGGTGGGCCCAGGACAGGGGGCACTTACAGCCCACGGAGCTGGGGGGGATGGGATACCAGGGTGGGCTCTGGTGTAGGCCCATGAGCCCTGGGGGGGCTGGGAGGGTCGTCCCAGGTGTGACAGGGGACTGACAGGCTCAGTCAGGGTAGAACCTGACCTTTGTCAAGGGAGCCACCAGCCCGGGACGAGACTCCTGCCGTGACCGGCCACGTTAGGAAGTTCCCACGTCAGACCGTCCTGCGTGGCCACTTTGGTCCCTGAGTCTGTCGGGCCGCCACGCGGGTCTCCTGAGCTTGTTGGGCTCCCAGTGGGGCCCCTTTTCCTTCCACAAAACCCCCTCCTGGTCCTGGACTCTCAACACTTTGTCTCCCTCTCCCCTCCCCTCGGCCCCAAACCCGGGAGGAGTGCCCCCAGAAACGGAGCCCAGGCCGCAGGCCCCCACGAGGCTCCAACTACCCAAGGACCAGGCACCCGGTGCCACACGGACTGTGGTCTCCTGGGGCTGCTGCCCGCCCCCCGTCTCCCCACTGCGCTGTGGGCCCCTCCTCATCCTGACTGGCCCCACAGGCGGGCCCTCCCCCCCCGCCTCCAGCCCCCTGTGTCCCTGGCCCAGGCTGCTGATACCCACCCTGGCTGGGTGCCCCCGGCTGGACTAGGGTCTCGGGGATGGCTCAGGGAATTGCTGTTCGCCCCTGGCCCCGGCCTTGGAGCTGGCCTCCTCTCCCGCCACAGCAGCAGCTACAGTCCCCGGGCGACCCCAGCCCCTGACACGGCCTCCCGGGCTGCCCGCTGCCCCCCATTCTCCATGCAGCCGCCAGAAGGACCTTTCCAAGTCGTAATCATATGCTTTCTCAGACCCAAATCACCTCTTTGGAACCCTCCTATGCTTCTTCTTTATGGCTTCAGGGAACCCTGACTTCCTTTCTCCCCGACTTCCAGGCCTTTTCCCACAGGACCCCAGGCCCCAAAGGCAGCACCCTCGTCTGCCCCCCCCGGCCCCCCAGTTCCGTGGAATGGACCGGTCAGGGTGCCCCTCCTTCCTTCCCCACACCCCGGGCCGGGATGGGAGTGCTGAGGGGGACCCCCTTGTAGCTGCACAGGAACCTCAGTTTCTCTTGGTCTGTGCTTTAGTTTGATTTTTTTTTCCCTTTGACTCAAACTGGCCTCCGCCTGCCCCCTGCCTCCCCCACCCCCTCCCTTGCTGGGTCATCAAGGCCTCAGAAACAGTGCGGTTCTGGTCAGCATCCAGTAGTCGTAAACCAAAGTTTCAGGTCTGCTGGCCACAGAAGAAGTTCTGGTCAAACCTAAGATGACCTCTGGGCCTGCGATGTTTCAGCTCCAGACAGACCCACCAAGCTTTGTCCTTGCGCAACCAGACGCCGCAACGCCAGGGCTGACGTCAGCCATGGGGGATGGGGGATGGGGGGTGGGGGGCGGGGCCCGGCCTCCTGGGACCCGTGTGCTTAATACGCCCGCACTTCCTTGGCTGCAAACTCCCGTCCGCGTGTGACTTACTGGGCTTTGATGTGCGGCCGCACACGGGCCCTGCAGTCCGGCCACACCCTCCCCAGTGAGCTGGGGCCCCTCCCTACAGACTGTGGGGCTCCCCTGTTCACGGATGTGGCTTTCAAGGTCAATTCCAGCAGTATAAGGATACGTTCCCACTGCGGCCCTACACACGGCGCTGAAATGACTGTGTCCAGCGTGCCCCCAGCCCCCACCCCCACCCGCCTCAGGAAGGGAGTGGGGGCAGGCGCTTCCCAAGCCCCTGCTTACGGGGAGAAGGGGCGGGCAGTGCTGCGGGGCTGGACCCGCTGTGAACTGGACACAGAGCAGGGAGGACAGGCCTGTCCAGGCGCCAGGAGCCGGGGGAAGCTGTGGATGCCCGCCCCCCACTCCCCAGACCAATCACTCCACAGACACTTCTGAAGGCAGCTTTATATTAAGTTATAAGAACCCAGGTCCTGTCCTGAGTACACACCTACAAAAGCAGTATATAAAAAATAATATTAATAACATCCAACACGCTAACTGTACAAATGTACAAAGGCTTCTGTGCACCATTGACGGGCCAGGTCCCGGCCACGTACCTGGAAAGGGGGCCGGCCGACCCCGGCGGCCCCCGAGTCTGACCTGCCCCTGATGCAGAGAGGGTCTGTGGGGCGGGCAGAGGCCGGAGGGCAGCTGGCCCGTCCTCCAGGGGCGGACGAGGTGTCCCAGGGCAGGGGGCAGATGGCGGCCACGGCGAGCAAACCCGTGGCTCCCGCAGATGCCACGCCCTCCTCTCGGGCACCGGAGACCGTGTCAGGCTCCGCACGAGGGGAGTGGGGGCGGCAGGTGGAGTTGAGGCCGCTGATCCGCTGCCGTGACCAGCGGAGAGGGTCCGGGCCCCCCGCGTGGGCCCGGGGCGACGGCGAGGGCTCTGACGTGGGCGAGGGAGGCAGGAGGGAAATGCTAGGGTGGGACAGGGCTCTGGGATGGGGGGGGGCCCGTGAGCCACGATTTCGGGGAGGGTGGTCTCTCGCGGCTGCGGGAGGCCAGGGGGTGCTTCCCCAGAGCCTCGGGAGGGAACAGCCCGCCCAGCCCTCAAGTCGCAGACCTGCACGGGGCCTCAGAACTGAAAATAAGTCTTGCTTTAAGCTGCTACGTTTGTGGAAATTTGTTACAGCAGCAGGAGGAAACTAACACAGGGAAAAGGGTCAGAGGTCAAGCTTGCCCCACCCAGGGCCTGCATGGTGTCGGCGGGGGGGGGGGGGCAGGCTGGCTGAGCCCTAGAAGACCCCGGAGGCCTCCTCCTGGGCCCCCCTCAGGGGGTGCCTGTGGGCAATGGGAGAGGCCAGGGTCTGCGCTACAGGGGTCCCTGTGCAATCTGGAGGAGGGCTTTGGCGCTGGAGGGGCCCCCAGTGTTCTGGGGACTCCCCTTCCCCGGCCCCAGATAAGGGCTCCTCTTTCCCTTCCTCTTCCAGCTGCCTTCCGCCCGGCCGGGCGCGCGGACGGGCCACGGGGGGAGCAGCTGCGAGGTGGACCGGGAAGGGCCCCACCGGCAGGAGGGGACCTGGGACCTCTGAGCCCCGGCCCCTCTCCCGCCTTCAGCAAACACGCGAGCAACTGTCCGTCCTCAGGTGTGGCCTCTCTGGCTCCTCGCGGCGGGTGTGCCTGCCCCGCAGGACTGGTGACAAACCGAGGCCTGTCCGGTTCCAGCTGCCCAGGGGCCCGCACCTCGGCCAGGCCTGAGCAGCAGCAGCAGCAGAAGGCAGGGGGCCCGTGAGGGGCCAAGAAGCCGGTGCCGGCCTGAACTGCACCCCAGTGGAGTGGCTGCCCCCAAGGGGGGCGTGTCCGACGCCCGCCGAGCGCTCACAGCAGGTCAGGCCGCAGGAAGAGCTAAGCAATGTTTATCAGTGAGAACAGGGACTTGCAGGGCCCGTGTGCCCCGGCGCTGACGTCCAGGATGCTCCGGATGCTCTTGACCTCGCTGTTGGACAGGTTCCCCTTGATGGCCAAGATGGCGCTCAGGTGGCCCTTGCTGGCGAGGAGAACGTCCCGTCAGTCCAGCCTGGTCACCAACAGCCCTGCTCGTACCCCGTCCCAGCCCCCCAGGCTCCTGGCCGGAGCGTGGCGCCCTGCGGCCAGCTCACTGCCCACGCGGGGCGGTGCGCTGGCCTCCCCCCCAGCCCGGCAGCAGCGGCCACCGCCTGTCCCTGCAGCACACTGAGCCCCGCCCGTCGCAGGCCCTGGCCCCGCTGTCCCTCCACCCGCTCTTCAGACGACCCCCTCCCCCGCTCACTCTGCGGGTCTCAGCTGGAACGCCACCTCCCCCAGGGCCCTCCCTTCTCTCAAGCCAGCATCTGCTGCTGGGGGAACAGTCTTTGCCACCTGGAACTGTATTTCTGTGCCTGATTCCCTCGCCACCGCCTCCCTTCCGGGGGCGACCGCTCCATGGGGGAGAAGGGAGACCTGGTCTGTCCTGTATTTCACGGCATCCCGGGAGGCGCCTGGGAGAATGCCTGGCACCTAGCGCACCGCTCGGTGATTATGGGCGGGAGATGGGCGGAGGGGTGGGCGGGTGAATTGATGGGTGAAGGTGGATTATGGGCGGATGACGGACAGATGCAAGGACGGGTGGACGGGTGGACGGGTGGATGACGGATGAGCAGATACATGGACAGGTGGACGGGTGCGGATGGGTGGGGGTGGGTGAATGAGGGGTGAGTGGGTAGATGGATGGATGGGTGCAGGGATAGGGGAGTGGAAGGATGGCTGGGTGGGTAGACATGTGGATGGGTGGGTAAGCACGAGGGGGGACCCCAAAAAACTGGAATTATCTCCTGGAGGGCAGGCCCCTTGTCCTACGGGCGTCCCCTGCTAGATGAGTGTTCTAGGAACCCACCCGTATCAGTGCGCCAGCTGGTGCTGTTGTGAGAGGTTGTGTTCCGCTTCAGTGAATGTTTTTAAGGATTCTTTGAACGCGTTTGCCATTGCATGGTGGGGGATTCATGAGCACGCCTGCCCACACCGCGCTGAGTGTTCAGCAGTTTGTGACCAAAGGCAGCACGAGCCCCCTGCCCCACCCTCCCTGTTCGCCCGATCGCGCCCCACAGACCTTTTCGTTTCCCCGGATGAAAAAAGTCCTCCCGGGGAAACGTTTTGCCGATGGGGAAGAGGTGAAACAAAAAATGGCAGAAGCACTAAAAAGCATCATAATCGACAAGTTCAAAAACTGTTTTGAGCAGTGGAAAAAAGTCTCAACAGGTGTATTGCATCAAATGGAGAGTATTTTGAAGGTGGCTGGAGTTTAAACATGTGAGAACACACACTTTTTAATAAATAAGTTCCAGTTTTTCAGGGTCTGCCCTCGCCTATCACCGGAGAGCTACACAACCACCCACCTCGGTGCTCAGACGGGGAGGTGGGCGGGTGGTGTGGGTGGACAAACAGGTGGGGGAGGGGAGGGAGGTGGGCAGCCCGGTGGGCAGGTGCAGCAGGTCAGCTGGGGGCTGGACGCGGCTAAGCTGTCACTGCAGTCCGAGACCCACTCGGCGCCTCCTCCGTGCCACAGGACTCAGCCCAGAGACATCATCTCCTCGGCTCCCGAGCCCCTCAGGCAGCCCAGGGCTAAGCCTCCGCTGCAGAACAGGGGTCCGGGGCCCAGGGCCACGTCCTGGAGGGTTCTAGGCTGACGGGCGGGCCCCAGCCCCGCCGCCGACCTGCTACGGCCTCCAGCGAGTTCCTGGTCTCTCCAGCCTCAGCCTCCCCCGAGGGGCAGCGCCGTAAAGGTGGCGCCACACTCATCTCAGCTCTACCGCTGACTGGCCGCGCCCCCTCGCCCGCCTGTCTGCGGCTCCCAGGCCTCGGGTGCCGGCCTCGTGGGGCTGCACAGAGGACTGAACCAGGGAGCTGCACTGTCGGACCCTCTCAGCCGGCGCAGCGGGGACCGAGCTCCAGGCACCGCGACGGCAGACCGCCGCCACGCCGGGCTGCGTCCGACCACGGTGGGGGCCGGCAGGGCCGTGCCGACTGCCCGGGTCGTGTGGTGCTCTATCCTCACCTGAAGTCAGGGTACAAGGTGGCGTAAGTGGCCACCTCCATCTTGATGGCATTGGTGTCTTGCAGGCGAAGGATCTCGGCGAGCGTGGGCAGGGCCTGGTGCAGCCAGGTCGCCAAGGAGCCCTGCAAGCACAGGCCGGGTTGGAGGGAGGCTGCCTCTTCTCCAGGGGCCCGAGAGGCTCAGGCCAGGCCTGACGGAGCTGGGGGAGGCCCGGAGGGGTAGGGGCTGCCCATCCCGGGCGGCTGGGGCTTACGTGCTCAGTGCAGAAGCACTGGATGAGGTCGGCATTGGCCAAGATCTGCCCCGACAGTTGCCGCTGCTGCTCCGCGGTCTTGAGCACCAGGCGCCGCTTGCTGAGCTGCACGATGTATTCCTTCACCAGGTGCCGGTGGACGAGCTCCATGAGCTCCTGTGCGGGCCAGCGGGCAGGGTCGTGTGAGCCAGGCCCTGACGGGGAGCTCACCACCTCCCTCGAAGCCTCGAAGGCAGGAGTCCAGGGAGGGGTGGATGGCAGAGCAAAGGGGTGCACACAGGCGTGCACGTGCGCGCGTGTCCGTGGGTGTGCACACACCTGTGTTAGCACGGGTGCTCAGGCTGCAGCCCCTGCCAGGCCCAGGCCCAGCCCCCAGCCCCCAGCCCCCAGCCCAGGGCCCCCTCACCTCCCGGAAACAGTCCCGCAGCCCCGAGAACTCGGGCAGCGCGTCTTCCACCGTGCGGACGATGTTCTCCATGGTCTTCTCCGAGGCCGCCCAGCGGGTGTGCGAGAAGTGCTTGAACAGGGGCTGGGACAGGAGAGAGGGGGGTGTCTGGCCCCGCCCTGCAGGGGAAGGGGTGCGGGACACACACACACACACACGCGCACACACACACACATGCGCGCACAGACACTCACACCGCCGTGCAGGGCCGGCCCAGGGGTGGGGGCTCCAGGGCCGCCAGGGGACCGGGGCGGAGCTCGACTCACAGGCGGGGTCTCTGTACCCTTCTGCAAGGTCAACCAGCTGTGGCTCCTTCGGAGCCAAACCCATCTGGCTGCCCTGGGGTTTTCTCCACCCACCCCCACCCCCTCAAATAAATACATTCCTGCCTAAACGAGGCCTGTGCCTCACCGACGCCAAGTCCTTGGGGCTGTGGTCTGGACTTCACCGCCAGCAGGCCACCCATGGTCTCCGGTGCCGGTCGCCCGGGACAGGGTGGGCTCCCTGGAGGGCAGGCAGGGGACCCCTCCTGTTTTTTTTCCCCAGGACTCTGCCTCAGGGGCTTTCTGTGGGTTTCCCGGCTCCAGCAGGTGCCGTGGGTGGCTGCCAAGGCTCTGAGCATCGCTGCTGGCAGCGAGGCCCAGGGAGGGGCTGGGAGCGAGGGAGGCAAACTGGGTTCAAGCGCGGGGACTGCGCCGAGTCTGAAGGGTGGGGTCCACTGAAGTTCTCCTGAGGCCAAGCCCCGGGGCGGCCCGGTGGAGGCAAGATCAAGGCCTCCATGGCCTCAGCCCGGGGCAGCACCAGCCCCCACGGGCCAGTCTTGGCTTCTGCCCTTCCTCCCCCGCCCCCCATCACGTCCCCAGCACCGGGCACAGCAGGGGTACCTGCAGGCGCTCCACCAGGCTCTGGAGCAGCGTGTGGAAGCCGTGACTCTTGAGCTCATTCAGGTAGCCCAGGAGGTCCTGGGGTGTCTGCTGGTTCTGCTCGATGAACGTCCTGGAAGGCCGGGGGCGGGGGGGGGGGGCACGCGGTCACGCCGGCCCTGCCCAGCCTACAGCCCACTCCCAGAGAGCCAGCTGGCCCAGCGAAAATCTTCCTCAACCACCTCTTCACCCTGGAACCCTCCATGGGCCCCCATTGTCCCCATTCCCCGCGGGAGCGAGTCCAAGTCACCCCGACCATACTCCCCCGGGGGGCCCAGCTGCTCGCCGCCCCCCACCCGCAGCACACACCCAGGCCACGCCCTCTGCTAGCCGGGGGGCGTGGCTCAGCCTCCGCGCGCCGCCGCCGTGCGCTCCCCGGCTGACGGGCGCAGCCGCCTCGCAGGGCTGCTCGGAGGACAAAGCCACCGGGAAACCCCCGGCCTGCGAGCTCGGCCGGACCCGCGGCCCCTCGGCGCTCCCCGCTGCTTTCTCTCCCCACGGGCCTCGCTCACGTCCGCCGCACGTCGTGCTGAGCTGCCCCCCTCCACGGCCCAGCCGCCCCTCCTCTCCCACGGGCCGTGACCTCCCGGGTTCCCCCGCTCCCACACCCGCTCCTGGGCCCTCACCCCCCTCACCGCAAGGACCAGCAGCTGTTGATGTTGGCCATGACCGTGGCCCTGTAATTCCCCAGCTGTCTGCACCGCTCCAGAAATTCGTCAAAGGCTCGCTGGTAGCTGGTGAAACCGGAAGTGGCACTTGCGGGACCAGCGCAAACACTGGGGTGACAGCAGCCTCCCGGGGCTTACGGGGCGCTTTTCCCAGAGGGACCCCCACGGCCCGGCACGCGCTGGCCCCTAAGCATCGTGGGACTGACTTCGCCCCAGTGGGGCCAGGCCCTGCCGAGCTCCTGAACAGGGGGCCAGCCCAGCTCTGCTGCCCCCTCTACTCCGGGGAGACTGGAGGGGCCATGGGCAGAGGGGGGAGTCCTCAGAGGAGGGGGGGCAGCCAAGAGAATTGTGGGGTGGAGACTGGAGGTGCCAGCAGAAGGGGAGGCCAGGGGATTCAGGCCCCGGGAGGCACCCTCTTTGCAGCTGGAGGGCGGTCTGCTGGGAGCCTCGCCAAGGGGGGGGGCACTCCACGCTCGGCTGGGTGGTGCGGGGGCCAGGACTCCTGCTCGACAGGACGGGCACTCCATGGGCTTGGGAGGGGGCCCTGCTCTAGCTTGGATCCCCGGATGGGGCCCAGGGAGGAGGCTGTAGGCCCCCCGTGTGCATCCTGCACACACACACACACAGACACACACACACACTCACCTCCTCAGAAATGCAGCCAGCTCCACCCAAAGCAGGCGCTTTATCTGCATGCCCAGGTCAGCCGTGATGCTCTCGGCCTTGGCCCGGCTCTGAGAGATGATCTGCGGGGCGGGGGGGGTGAGCTGAGCAGGGCCCCTGCCCCGGGGGCGAGGGCTGGGGGAGGGGAGGGGGCTCGAGGGCACGAGGGGGCGGGCTGGGAGGTGGGCTGTGTGTGCAGCGGGCTGCCCGTCCGTGGGCAGGAGGGGCGGGCTGTGCTACCTGGATGACGTCGATGGCCAGCTCGCTGTGGCAGTGGCCGTCCAGCCGCTGAGGGGCCACGTCCTGGGCCCAGTGCTGCGACTCCAGGCTCAGGGCTCGGGCCATCAGCTCCTTCGCGCTGGTCTGTGGGGGGGGGGAGGGTCAGGGTGGCAGGAAGTCCCAGTCCAGCTCTCTGCCCACGTCCTGTCCGTCCTGAGCCGCCCCTCTGTCCCCTTCCTGCCCCTCCCCGGCGCTGCGGCCAGACTTACCACCTCGTTGGACAGGAAGGCGGCCTCCAGCAGCCGGATCTGCCGGGGTGGCAGCAGGCTCCCCAGCTCGACCCCCTGCAGCTGGCCGGCAAGCTTGGGGCTGTTGATGATGTCGCTGCGGGCAGTGGGGGGGGGCGTAAGGAAAGCGGCCCCCCCAGCCCCCACCGCTCAGGCCGGAGCTCTCCTCCTCGGCTTGTCTCCGTGGCCCCTCACTGTGTGGTCTGTCCCCCACGGCCCCCCATCCCTGCTTCTGCAGCTCAGATGGTGGCTCCTCTGTCTGCTCAGTTGGGTCCAGGTCAAAACCCTGGAATCCTCGTGTGTCCCCCTTTCTCACCCTCCCACCTACTCAGGCTCCGAAACGTGTCCCCCACGGACCGGCCCCCGGCCCCCGGCCAGGGCCCGGCCACCTTCACCTCCCGCCTGGCTCGCTGCAGGGGTCCCTCCCAGGCCTCCCTGCCCCCACCCTGGTCTCCGACCGCGGGCAGCTGTCCACTGGGCAGGCGGAGCGTGCTCGCCGCCGCCACCTGAGAACCTGACCCCCCCTCACACGTGAAACCCAACTCCCTGTGGCCGCAGCCGCCGTCCCACCCGTCCCCTCACCCCCTTTCCCTGCCAGGCTGGCCCTGCGGCCCCAGAGGCTGGGCGGGTGCAAGCAGGAAGGGCTCCGTGGAGGCGGAGGCTGAGGCGGAGGTGGAGGCGGCTCCACTCGCCCTGCTCTGCAGGGTCCTGGCCCCTCAGGGACGGCCCCGCCCGGGCACTTCCTCGGGCCTCTGTGTGCCAGGAGGCTCAGGGGTGGCCCTCTCTCTGCCCCTTCCGAAGGCTGGACACCATGTCCCTTTGCTCCCCGCACTTCCGGCCACCCAGGCCTCCACAAGGCCCCCCTGACCTCCCCTCCTTGGGGCTCCGTGCCCAGCTGGCCTGTCTGCTGCCGGGCTGACCCCCGTGGGCCCCGGGACCGGGTGGCTGGTCAGCAGCGGTGTGCGTGCCCAGCATTTCCTGGTGAGTCAGGCAGCGCAGGCGCGGAGGAGCGGCTCCAGGCTGGCCCCCTCTCCGGCAGCCCCTGCCCTGGGTCCTTCCTCTGTGCCCTGCTGACCGCTCACCCACCACGCCCCCGGGCCCTTCCTCCGGACCTCGCTGGAGGCTCAGCGCCACCCAAGCCCACTGGCCACGCAGAGGTGTCCCTGAAGACCCTCAGAGCCGGCTCCCACTGTCTACCCCGCCAGGCTTCCTGCCAGCTTTACACTTGGGGCCGGGCCAGCCCAGAAGGACGCCCTGGCTTCTGGAGCTGGGCGCGTCCACGCGCAGTGCCCCTCCGCCCAGCTGGCGCTCGGGGATCCCCGGAGTCTGGGCGAATCAGGGAGCGCCCGAGGCTGCGCCCACCGCTGCCGGGTCCCTCCGCTGGCGCAGCCGGACCCCACCGAGGAGACGCGGGCCCCTGCACCAGCAGCCAGCTTGCCGTGGGCAGCCCCGCACAACAGGGGTCTTTCCGAGGGGCCCCACGGCCCCGCCCAGCCCCGGTCTGGGAGCTGTCTGGGAGGGCCCCGTGGCCTGTGGGTGAACCCAAACACCGAGGAGCTCCCCACGGCTCCGCTGCAGGCCCGGGAAGGGACTCCCTCTGCCCGGAGCACCGCCCTGCCACCCTGCTGCCACCCTTCCTTCCGTCGGCCCCGGCACAGCCCTGGGCAGGGACACGCCTGGCTCCAGGCGGAATCCTCCCCGGCGATCCTCGAGGCCGGCTCCCTGGCCTGACTGGCACAAGGTCCCTGCCCTGGGCTCCCCCGGTCCTGGGCTCCTCTGCCACACAGCCCTCCCGCTCTGGAGGGTCCTCGTCCTCCCCGCCCCCTGCCAGTTCATGAGCCAGTGGAGTCCCTGCCATTCCCTGCACCTCCGTGTCCCCAGCTGCAGGACGTGGCTGAGGCCCCGGAAATGAGGGAGCCCAAGTGCCCAGCGGGCGGAGCGAGGGACTCTCTGCCTGCGCTGGCCTGGCTGAGCCTGCTCCGGCCCAGGGCGACAGGGCCTCCTGCCGCCGCGGCCCCTCCCCCCCACTCACTTGGGGTAGAGGTTCTGCACCCACACCAGCAGCAGGTAGGTGTCGCGCTCCAACAGCTCAAACTGCGCCATGGCCGTCAGCTGGGCCGCGAAGTGCTGGTGGTAGCTCTCGGCGTAGGCCGCCACGACGCCGAACTCGGCGGGGAACAGCGGCTTCAGCCGCTCCACCACGGCCTCCAGGTCCTCCTTCAACGTGCGGCCCATGTGCAGGAAGGCGCGCTCGGCCTCGGAGCGGCCCTCGGCGTCCGCGTCCGGCGGCCGGTCCAGGCGCTCCTGGGCCTCCTGCGCCACGCCGCGCCGCCACAGCTGCAGCCAGTGCCGCGGGCGGGTGGTCGCCAGCCCAGAGGGCCCGGGCCCCGCGGCCTCCACGCGCCGGTCCTCACGCTCCTGCTCCGCCAACACGGCCAGCGCCTGGCGCAGCCGCTCGGGCGCCACCTCCAGCGGCCGGCGCAGCAGGTTGAGCACCTGGTCGCGCAGCAGCACGTACAGCGCCTCCACTTTGCTCTGGCGCCGCACCAGCTCCTCCTCGCTCGCGCTGCCCGCCGCCGCCAACGCCGCCAGCTCCCGCTCCAGCAGCAGCAGTGGCGCCGCGGCCTCCAGCCGCCCGAGCTCCAGCTCCGCCTTGAGCTCCTCCGCTGCGAGGACCGGACAGCGCGTTAGCGCGGCCAGCCACGGGTCGGGGGCTGGCGGGGACCCCTCTGCCCCCATGAGAGCCCAAAGGGAGAAGCAATGCGCCCAGAGAGGCCCGTGGGTGTCTCAGACGGGACGGAAGCCCAGTACGCCTCCACCCAGCCCCCAAACTAGGCAGGAGGTGCAGGTGGAAGCCAGGACGGGAGACACCTCCAAGCCCACGGTTCCTGCCCTCTCTGGGTCCTGGGTCGGTGGGCCAGCTGCTCGGGGAGCCCCAGCCCTGAGAGGCCCCGCACAGCTCTGACATGGAACCCCAAGCCCAGGAGGGGCCCCAGCCTACCGGTGGGCAGTAGGTCCCCGCGCCGGGGCCCGGGCTCAGGCTTGCCCTCCGTCTTGGCAGGGCTGGGCTGGCCCTTCTTCTTCCTCCCTTTGGTGAAGATGCTGAACATGTTGGCCAGGCCTTTCTGCTTCTTCCTCAGAGCCTCCTGCTCGCCCCTCTCCGGGGGTCCCTCGGATCCCAGGGGTGGCGCCAGGTACTCAGAAGAGGCCTCTGACATGGGAGAAGGTCGTCATCCTCTTCAGCGTCACGCGGGCTCAGACCTGCAGGTGGGCTAGGGGAGGGGGACAGAAGCGTGAGCGGTCACGGCGCACCGGCGTGGCGGCAGCCCCGTGTGCTTGATCAGCTGCCCCAGCAGGACCCCCAGGGCGCTGGCCCTCGGGCCCGCGTGGGCACCAACGGCTGGCTCGCTCCCTGGACAGCAGCTCCTCTGCCCCTCCAGCTCCTCTCCCCCTCCAGACGCTCCCAGAATGACCAGAGAGGGAGGAAGCTGGGGGTGCCAAGCCTCCCAGACAGAGAGGCTTTCGCTTTGCCGGTCCAATGATCCTTTGACAGCCCACCCTCTGGGCCGGGGCTGCAGGGCGTGAGGACGCCCCCGACACCCAGAGCAAGGGCTGTGGTCCCAGTGCACAGAGTCAGCACAGAGGCCCGGGGAGGCCCGCGGCGCCAGGGGCTGGGCCGAGGCAGAGACCCGCCCAGGCACACCCCCTGTCTCACCCGCTCTCCCCTGCTCTTGTCTGGCCGTGGGGTCCCCGAGGGGCGCCGAGAGCAGAAACAGGCTTGCTCCTGCTGGGACCACGAGGCAGGCAGATCCTGAGCCCCAGTACGGCCTTGGGGCTCAGGCCACAGAAAGCACGGCACCCCTCACACTCCAGTGGGTGGGGGAGGACTTCGGAGAGCCTTTCCCACGCTGGCGGGGACAGGGCTGCCTGAAGCCACGGGGGACCTGGACGGGAGCACAGGCGTCCTGGCTCCTGCTCCCCCCCCCCCCCCGACAGCTCTGGGAAGGGGAGACACCGCCCTCACCACAGCGCCCACTCTCTCTGCCCCTCCTGGGCGCCCACCCCACCTCCTCCTCACTCCCACCCAGGCGTGATTTTCCTCATCTCACGAAACCGGCTCAGGGAGGTCCACGGGCCCTGTGGTCGGCCGCTTGAGCTTGGGGCTCATCACCTGCCTCTGCGTCCCCCACCGCCTAGCCAGCCGCACTCAGGCGGGCAGGACCACCTTGTGCCCGGCATCGCCCTCCAAACACCTTGACCGTTATCGGAGCAAGGCCAGGGCTGGGGGAGGGGAACAGGGCTGACCCCAAGGGAGCAGCCAGGGCAGGGCTGCGAACAGGGAGCAGACGGGGCCGGGCCTGCCTGGTGACTGGGGCGACCGGTAACCATAGTGCCTGCTCCACCACCACCCAACAGCAAATACGCCAGGCCATCACGCATGCAACCCGGCGGCTTCGATTCACCCCTGCCACAGACAGTGCTGATGGATAACCGCCATCCGGAAGGAGACACTGAAGTGTGTGGGGCGAGGCGTGCTTGGCCCAGACGCAGAGCAGGTGGGGCGGGGAGGCATGGGGGGGCGCTCAGCTCAGGCCTGTCAGACTCTGCAGAGCCCCTGCTGCCTCCCCGGCCCACCCCCTCCCAGGGGCCAGGGAGCCTGGGTTGTCCCCGCTCCCACTGGCTTTACCGGGCACCCTGGGCAGGGCCCTAGAGTTGCCGCCCGTGCCACTCGGTCTGGCAGCTCCTCTCCAGCACCAAGCAGGGGCACTCTAGGGAGCCCCCAAACCAAGGGCCCTCGGCGAGAGGCCAATGGGTGCTTCTGCCCACCCACCCACTGCCCCCGGCGTCCTCTCCCACTCCACCCCATTTTCATGCCGTGCACCCCCAGGAGCTGGTCTGGCCAGCTGCCTGGGCTGCTCAGCGCCACCCTGCTGGAGTGAGGGAGAGGGCCATCCTGACCAGCAGGGCTGCCACCAGCCTCACCTCTGCCCTCACCAACCCCTACTCCTTGGTCCCCACGCCCACTAGGCTCCGTCTGACCTCCAGACCCTGCTCTGGCAGGTCCCTGCCCTGCACCGCTGCCTCCGCGCCTGGGGCACAGACTCGTACTCCAGGCCTGGAAGCCCCCAAGGCTGGTCCCCCGAAGCTGGCCCCTGTGGAGAGCTGGGAGAGCTGAAAACACTCGCAGCCAAGGGCCCGCCCCTGGCTGGGCCTCGGGAAGGCTGTGGGTCTGCTAGGCAGGGCTGGGCGCCCAGCACTGCAGAGGCAGGCAGGCGAGGCACCCCCACCCGCCAGGGCAGTTGGCTGGGCACACGCAGATAAGAGACCTGAATACAGTGTGGCCCAGCCTGCGGCCCAGCGGTGGCCCCCACACCCGGCCCTCCCAGTGCCACCAGCTTCTCAGGCGCACCCGCCCCGCCCCCTCCTCCCCGGCAGGGCTAAAGCTCACACAGCCTCCCGTGGCCTCTGCGCCTGGCTCCTCTGGGAACCGACAGACGGCAAACCGTCACCCAGATAACGGCCAGGCACAGGGAATGAAGTGACTCGGCCTCGATCATCCAGCCAGCTTCCCTCTCCCGCCCGGGGGCCCCGGCCTCCCTACCGCGAAAGACAGCGAGACCCCGGCGCCTTTCCGCACATTCCGGCCTCTCTGCCTTCCCAGGGACAGAGCCCGCGCCTAGGGCGCCATGCGGACCTCTGCTTCCCAGCGCGGGGCCGCTCCGTGCAGGGGCAGCAGTTTCCCTAGAAGTGGGGCTGCGGGAGGCCTTGGGCTCTCTGATCGTCCGCCCCCTTGGTCCCCTCTGCCGCATCTGCCGCTCCCTCGGAGGATGGGCCGGGGACCCCTCCCGGGAACCCGGAGGACCGGCAGCCGCGCGGGACGACGGGGACGGACGCCGGACGCCAGGAGACTGGAGGTCACTTACTCTGTTGGTCGCAACGCCGCTCTGCCGCCGGAGCCGGGCACGGCCAGATAAAGATCCAGGCTCCGCCCCCACCCCCCCGCGCTGGGCCGACCGCCCGCTCCCCCCCGCCGCCCCCCCCCCCAACTCTGCAACCGCGGAAAATCCGCGGGCTGAGGCTGGGCGAAGGCTCCCTTCGTCCCCGAGTTCCCGGTCGTGCGCGCGCCCCCGAGGCGGTGCTGGGCCCGTCCCGCTGGGGAATGTGAGTGTGTGTTTGTTGCGGGTGGTCGCCACCTCCCACCAGTCGGGGCGGGGTGGCGGGTTCAGGGGGCGCGACTGGCGGAGAGTCCCCCGACCCCGGTATTTGGAGCACGGGGATCCTCACCCAAGGCGGACCGACCAGTCCGGTGTTGACCTATTGTCCAACGACGGATTCTGATTGGCTAACTGGAAGAGCCCCCCCTCCCGCCCGCCCCCTGCTCAGCACAACGCTTCCTCGTCACAGAGCCGGCACCCACTCCAGCTCCCTGGGCCCAGCTGGGGAGGGCCGGTCCCACTCTGGGCATCACTGTGGCTGCAGAGAGACATGGGAGGGAGCCTTCCTGGAGGAGGTGCCTCCAGGGAAAGGGGGTGCAGGGGTGCGCAGCTGTTGGCAGCACGCCTGTGCTGGGGGCCTTCCCACAATGTCACCATGGGAATCCACACTCAGGCCTGGGGAACTCCTGCCCCAGCACTTTCCCTTTCTGGGGCTGGGGCTGGGGCTGGGGCTGGGCCAGGGCAGGCTGCTGGGGGCAAAGCCTGCACCCAAACAGCCACGGCTTGATCCTCATTGAGCCCAGCTTTGTCCTGGCTTAGGGTGGCTCTGAGCAGGCCACACCCCTCTCTGGGCCTCTGGTTCCCCTCCCAGGCCTGCTTCCTGGGCTCTGTCACCTGGCGGCAGAGGGTCCCCACGGGAGTGCCCACCGTAGCCGCCCGGGCACTGTTTCACGGTCCAGGAACCTTGCGCTCTGGAAAGGGCCCGGTCACTCAGGAATTTCCCGGCCGAGCACCAGCTTCCCTTTTGCTTCTTGCTGGAGCCTCTGCTCCTCCCTCCCTTTTGTTTGCTCCCCTCCTCCCCCCACGCCCCCCCCTTGCCCACTCCCTCGGTTGGCCTGGGAGCAGTTGCAGAGCGGCGGCTGGGGAGCGGAGCTGGGGGTGCCCCTTGGGACAGAACTTCCTCTTCCTCCTTGGGACTGGTGGTCGTGGGCCAGCCTGGGTTTGGACATAGACCCTGTCCCTGAGGGGCTCTGGGAGGTGAGGGGCTTCGGGAGGAGACAGCGAGGTGGGCCCCACCCCTCCTCCGCCCGAGGCCTGGGGCAGGACGCCTGTCCCGTGGGCCAGCACAGCCACGGTGCCCCGGCGGGGAGGGTTGTTCCGTCTGCTCCGCGGATGAATGGGAGGCCCCCGCACCCCGGGCTCCCCGGCCCCAGCACGTTCATCCAGCCAGAAGCGGCCGAGGGAGGGAGCCCGAGGGGTCCCAGCTCACCGCCCCCTGTCCCCTCACTGTGCAGGTGCAGCTTTCCTGCCGGGCCTCCGCCCCTGACTCCACACGGGTCGGGTCGGGTCGGGGAGCTCGCTGAAGCTTTCTGGGCCGGGGGCTGCGGGAGGGGGAGGCTTCCGGGCAGCGGGTCCCCATCAGCAGGGGCAGGAATGACGCTTCCAGGGCAAGCGCTGAGCCTGGTCCCCCGTGGCCTGGGGCCACCAGCCCCCGTCTCCATGGCTCCGCCCGAGCAGCAGCCGGGGCCAGGCGTGGGGCCGGCGGCCCTGTCCGTGTGTGCTGCACCAGCCCCTTCCCGGAGGGCCCGGCGTGTCCGCGAAGCCCCCGACACACGGGACCGCCTCTGACAGCGGGGCTACCCGGAGGGCCACGGGCGGCGACGGCTGGGGGTGGGGGGCAGAGCCTGACGGGGCAGGAGCTATTCTTACCCCTCTGACATGTGAGGACGCTTGCAGGGCGGGCCAGCCAAGAGCCCTGCTTAGCCGGAAAGGAACATCAGATGCCAGGTGGGAGTGTCCCTGGCCGTCTGCGGCCCCACGCCCCGCAGGGCGGCGGGCTGGCTGCGTGTGGCAGGGAGGGCAGCGGGCAGGAGCCGCCTGCACTGGACCGGCAGGCCGGCCCAGCCCCTGGTCAGGAGCCCCGGTCAGCTCCTGCCGTGCGAGGCAGGGCCTTGACCCCGCGCCCCACCGCAGGGCTGCGCACACCGGGCTCTGCCTCCCTTCTCTCTGCTCAGGGGTGATGGCTGACTTAAAAAAAAAAAAAAGCCACCAAACTTTGGTAAAATATGCAGAACAAGCCCTGACCGGTGTGACTCAGTGAGCTGGGCGTCATCCTGGGAACCAAAAGGTCGCCTGTTTGACTCCCGGTCAGGGCACGTGCCTGGGTTTCCAGCGAGGTCCTCGGCAGGGGGGTGCGCGAGAGGCGGCCAACCGTCCCTCTCCCTCTCTTCCTCCCTTCTGTCCCCCCCTCTAAACACAAGTAGATAAAACCCTGTGAAACCATGCATGACCAAACGGACCGCTTTCCATCCCCGTACCTCTGATTCACCTGAGCACCTCACAGAAGGGGACTCCGCAGTGTCGGTCCTTTTGTGAGTGGCTTCCTTCCCTTAGCACGATGTCCCCAAGGCCCACCCGTGTGGCAGCGTGTGCCAGACTCCCCTTCCTTTGTAAGGGTGAGTAGCGCTCCGCTGTTCGGCCGTGGACCCGCCAGTGGACCCCGGGGTGGCTACCACCCCCTGGCCGCTGCGACCCTCGCGGCCGTGAGCTCGGGAGGAGGGATCGGGCCGGTCCCGGGCCCTGCCCCCGGTACTTTGGGGCGCGGGGCTGACTTCCGCGGGCCTTCACGGGTGCCAGGCCCTGCGTTCGGGGCTTTGCATGCGCTGACAGTTTCCATCAGAAAATCTCGTGACGTGGGCACTCCTTCATCACCCCTTTTCCACAGACGGGGAAACTGAGGCACAGGCAGGCCCAGCCCCGCACCAGTCAGGGGCGGAACCGGGAGTCCCGCCCCACAGTGCTTTGCCCGGCTGTGGACCGGTGTGGAAGGGCAGCTTCAGGCATTTCAGTCAGACACCAGGAAGGACTGCCCGGCCAGACCGCCAGATGCAGACAGGGGAGGTTTTGCTGCCCTCCACGTGGTTACCATCTTTGGAAAAACAAGATGATTTCCCAATATTTCATAACCTTGTTTATTCGCTGGGTCTTCCCCCTCGCCCTCGGGGCAGCGCAGCCCAGCCACATGAGGTGGTGGTGTCGCTGGCCCTTGCTAGGGGACAGCGCCCCCGAACAGGGGGGCGTGGAAGGCAGCGGGGGGCGCATTCAGGGGCTGAGGGGCTCCTCGCAGGAATGCAGGGGCTGAGGGTGGCTGGGCCTGGCTCCACCAGCAGGACCTGCCCAGTGGCCCCGGTCACAAGGGCGGCGCTGCCCGTGGGGTGGGCTCCCCACGACCGGCAGCCCAGGGCACGCGGGGCCATCCCCTGGCCCCTCCCCCGGGCCCGGGCCCACTTCCCTCTGGGAGATGACTTGCATTTCCCACTGCCCCGCTCCCGGTCCCGCTTCTCCCTCGACCCGGGGGAAGCTTTCCTGGTGCCTCCCGTGCCCCAGGGTCACGCCACTCGCCGACTGCGTGGGGCACAGCCCTTGTGTCCCCTGCTGACGGACGAGGAGACTGGTCCCGAGGAGGCCGAGCCAGCTCACAGGCGGAGGCCTTGAGGGGAGGGTCCCTGCCGCCGCTGGACCTTGCCCGGGAGAGGTCGCTTGCGCGGGACCATCGCAGCTGTGCCGGGCCCGGGCCGGAGTCAGCTGACCTGCCCGGGGACCACGGGGTGGCCAGGGCAGCTGACCAGGAACCGGCCTCCCGGGGCGCCCTCGCCCACGAGGGCCCTGGCCCCGCAAGACGTCTCCTGGCCGTCAGCCCCTGCCCTTCTCCAGGGAGGAGGCCAGGCCGCACACTTCCTTTCGCGTCTGGCAGATGGGGAAATGGGGTGCTAAGGGGAAATGGCTTCTGTGGGCCCATGAGGCAACAGGACTCCCATTCAGGGGGCCTTCCTTCTAAGGCGTGCCGTGCAGGAGGGCTTCCTGGGGGAGCGGCCCTCCCAGGTCATCAGGGACTCCCCCCTAAAAGGGCCCAGCCTGTCACCGTGGCTTGTGGTGGCAATGCAAAATGGCCGAGTTCAGCTGCTGTCCCTTCAGGCCTGGGACTGCTTTTGGACCCTTCTCGTAGCCGGTGCGATTTCCGGGAAAAGGGCCGTGGTGGAGATTCTCTCATCACTGAGCTCCACCCAGTGACGGAGGGGGAATTCTCGAGGGAATTGCAGTGCTGAGCTGGCAGCCCGGGGCAGGGAGGCGGGGAGGCTGCCCAAACCACCAGGGCCCTGCCCCTTCCTGGGGCCTGGATGCCTGCTCTCCACCCCCCCGACACGTGCACACGCGTGTGCTGGGCGTCTGGACAATGCAGAGGGGAGGCAACACGGTGGGGGCTCGCCCCGGGGACCACCCGGCCCCCAGGAGCTGCATCCCTTACCTCAGTGTTTTTAGACACGTGACCCCACCCCCAGGGCCTCGCTGTGCCTCCTGGAGATGGGCCGCACGTGCTCTGGGCTGCGGGAAGGCGCAGAGGAGACAGGGCGGGTCTCGCCCATCACGGTGCCTGCTGTTACTCTTGGGCGTGCGTGGGAAAGCCAGGCCCTCAGCGGACTTGCGTCTTCTCACTGGTGCTGCCCAGTGAGGCAGAGCAGCAGGAGGCAGAGCCCAGAGAGGTGGAGTAACTTGCCCAAAGTCACACAGCTCGGGAGGCGCAGAGCTGGCACCCCAGCCCGGAGGTGTCGGAACCCAGAAAACCCAGCAGCTCATCCGGGAAGGGAAGAAAGCCGACACACCCAGCGGGACCTGGATGGGGGGGCCGGGGGAGGCGGCCGAGACGGTGGGATTGCTCACTTCATCCCTCTTTCCTCGGACCCTAAGATCCTGTCTGGGGGGCTTCATTCTGACAGGGTTCGAGAAGGGCTGCCCCCCCTTGACCCAGCCGCCGCAGCGAACGCGGGCTCTTCGCCCGAGCTCCACCACCCGTTTTCTGCGGGTGAGCCCCGCTTTCAACCGGCCCGGCCGGCCTGGGAGGAAGGAACTTGGTGGCTCCGGGAAGGACGCAGCGGAGAGGGAAGCGAGGAGGCTTTTCACCTCGTGCCCTTTTTGTGCCTTTTTAATGTTGAACTAAGTGAATGAGTCACTATCCACAGATGGTCAGCGTTCCCAAAGAGACCGTTTAGCCCTTCACAGGCTGCGAACACATGTGTGGGTGCATGGGCAGCTGGCCTCGTGGGACTCGATGATAGCCCAGCCCCGCAGCCCCGCCCCAGCTTGCCCCGGAGCCCAGCACGGCCCCCCGGCCCAGCACTCCACACAGACTGGCTGGGGGAGGGCAGCACGCAGGCAGAGACCCCGCCCCCGGGCCTCCCCGCAGGCCTCAGCATGGATGCTGGACAGATGCTGACCCTGGCGGGGGCCCTCCGCTCTGCTGCGGTCCCCAGAGGGACGCTGTGGTGGCAAAGGAAGGAAGTGAGATTGGGGACCAAGCAGCCCCCTCCCCCCTCCTGGTCAGTGGTGAGGGGCCCTTCGAGTACTGAATCCTGCTGAGAGGGCTGTCCCCAAGCCCGGGGGGCCCGTGAGGTCCAGGGCCAGGAAGGGAGGAGCCTGGGTCACAGGCCAGGAAGGAAGAGGGAGAGGCTGCACAGGCACGGAGGGAGCGCTGACCGCCGCTCGCCGCACGGCACTGGGGCGTTGAGGCCGGGAGACAGGACAGTCCCTGCCTTCTCTGGTGGAAGAGGGGCCCCGCTGACACCGCCCCTCCGTGGCTGAAGAGCCCGGGCCACCTGCGTGTGCCTGCGGGGGACCCTGGTGCGAGGCAGGGCCAACCTCCTGCTCTGCAAGCGCCCCAGTGTCCCACTGACGCAGGGCTGCCTGTCGGCGGCGGCTCACCTGCGCCCCACCCCCACTGCAATCCTGGAGCCCGGGAACCACGGCCGCTCCTCTTCCTCATTCCTGCCCCACCCACCCTGCCAGGTTCCCCACTCTGGGAGCTCTGGGTGCTCCCTCTCTTCCTCCGCCACCAACCTCTAGCCCCTGGGTGCCCGTGGAGGGAGCAGCCCCGAACCTGCTCCCACCCCTACTCCTGGGGCCCCGACGGGACCCCCGTACTCCTGGGGCCCCGACAGGACCGACCCAGCCCTGGCTCTGCATTCCAGCCCTGGCTGAGGGGATCGGACGGGGCCTCCTGTGGGCGCAGCGAGGTGGCCCGGGGGGGCGCTGGGAGACACAGGTCCCCCACCTGGCCAGCCCGGCAGCCTTTCAGGACGCTCGCCCTGTGCAGGGGAGATCCACCTCGCCGGGCTCTTGGAACCCCGGCCCCCGCAGTTGCCTGCTCCCCAGCTCTGCCAGGGTCGGGGCCAGGCCCAGAAGGACAAGTGGGGGCCTCCGCAGAGGGGTGTCGGGGAGGCGCCTGCCGCTGCCTGTCTCGGTTCCTCCTTGTAACCCCTCATCTCGGCGCCCAGCCCCCTGCCGAGCCCCAGATTCCCGAAGCCCAGGGGTTTCCCAGCCGCCTGGCCCGGCCTGAAGGCCGGGGGGAACTTCAGTGCCAGCTCTTTGTGAGAAGGATGGGTGGGGGGGGGGTGCAGGCGCACACTGGAGCCAGCGCCCTGCAGCCCCACCTCCAGGGCTGAGACCTCCAGGCCCAGCCTCCCCCCGCCCCCCCCAGTGGGGTTCACATGTGCAGCAGCATCCCCACAGCTGGGAAGTCCCTCCCACATCTCACCCAAATACCTCATGCTGCAGAGCAAGCCTTGCCGTTGTCTTGTCCCTTGGGGGCCCCGGCCTGCTTAGGACGGGGCAGAGCAGTGCCCGTCCCTGCAGGGCGAGGCTCGCTCGACACACGAGGCCAGTGGGCTCGGAACCGCAGGGTCCAAGCCTGCTTTGCTCGGTAGCCACAGGGGCGGGCCTTCCCAGCCGTGGGCCTGCCTCAGCCTCCCCACTGGTACCACGGGCAGGAAAGGGCCGGCACCCAGTGGGGTTGCCACAGACCCTTCCAGCCCAGCCCCCTGCTCCCGGCCAGCTTGGCCCTGCCCCTCCTGAGGGGGGCACCATTTACATTCACGCTTATTTTTAAATACTCTGCCCTTCACCTCCCGACCGGCGGTGGTGCCGGGCAGGTGGGCGGGGAGGCCTTCTCCGGCGGGCAGCGCGGAGGGAGCCTCTGGCCAGCCCCCGGCGCTCCCCCGCAGATGCCTGGGATGCTTCTGTCATTGCTCTTCCTTCTGGCCCTGCAGCCCCACTTGGCTGAGGAGGAAAATTCCATGACTCCGAGCGTCAGGCCGGGGGCAGGGCGGATGGAGAGCACCTCCCAGACTCCTGGCTTGGGCCTCGGTGCCCGGGGGCCGGTGGCAGGCCCTGCGCCCGCTGCGGCCCCCTCCTGAGGCCAGCCCCCTCAGGTGCAGGAGCCCTAGATGCAGGCGAGGAGCACGTCCACAGAGGTGGGCACCTCGATCTCCTCGAAGAGCACGTGGCCCCCAGAGGTCCCCGAGGCCCCAGCTTTGGCCCTGGCTTTGGCCGCGGCCCGCAGCAGGTCCTGGGCGTGCTGCAAGAGGCGCTGGTTCCGATGACGGCCCAGGCGGCGCAGGGCCAGAATGGCCAGCACGTGGTCACGCCTGCAGAGACACGGGGCCCTGAGTGCAGACCCAGCGCCTCCGGGGACGACGCCCGGCCCCCCGGGCGAGGGGAGCCCCTGCCTCGGGCTGGAAGCACGAGGGCACCCACGTCCCCCCGAGCCTGAGAGGGGCCAGGAGGAGCCGCCGTGCTCCGCAGGGGCTGGCGGGGCTGGCTGGGTCCGGAAGGGTCCCAGCGGGGTGGGGAGAAGGGGCTGCCCAACTGGGGAGGCACCCCCTGCGGAGGTCCCGGAAATGGGCCAGCGGAGCGAGGGAGGAGGAGGGGTCGGGCAGAGGACAGTCCCGCCAGGGGCATCTGTGCCGGGGCCCAGACAGAGCACAGGGATGAAAGGCAGCGTGGAGGCCGGAGGCTGGTGCCCAGAGGCGTGGCCAGTCACCCCTGCACAGCAAGAGCACCCATCCGGCTTGAAGTGCCCCCCCCCCAGGAGCCCGGGAAGCGGGTGCTGAGGGCAGCAGAACCCGGAGGGGCCGGGCTGGGACCCTGGGGGGCCACGAGGGTGTCGTCCCTCTGAGCCAGAGGGGCAGCAGCAGCTCTGGGCAAGGAGCCCTCTCCCGGCGCCCAGCCGCAGGGCCGGGAAGGGGCTCTCTGTGCCCTCCCCCTCCTGGAATCTCCAAGGTCGTGGAGAGTTTCTGGCCGGGACTTCCACAGCTCGATGACTCAGCCTCTCCCCCCAGCCGGCACACACCCTGGGAACAAAGTCTCTTTCCTCCTGGCTGGGGCTTCCAGAGAGGGTTTTGTCTGGGAGGCGGGGGCTGTACCTCCCCCCCAAATTCCCTGGCAGGGACATGTTTCCACCGTCAGACGCCCGAGGAGGGGCAGGCCCTGCTTGGAGGGTTCCAGGCGCCCTCCGCTCTACCAGGGGGCTGCACCAAAGCCACAGAGACTAGAGAACCCCCGTTCCCAGGGCCTCCCTCCCCTACGCGCCTGCGGCTCTGCCGGCTCCTCACCCGGTCCCCTGCTACCCCAGCACCCGAGCAAAGGCACGAAGCCCTGGCCCCAGGGCCCCGTGGTGCCCCCTTGGAGCCCCAGGCTGGCGGATGGGGGCACGGACCTGATGTCGGGGTAGTTCCGGACCAGCACCTCCAGATGCTGCTGGATGCCGTCTTTGTCGGTCTCGCCCAGGATGTTTGCCACGCATGGGATTGCTTGGTCCAGCCACGTGGCCTCCGATCCCTGCGGGGGCAGGGAGACAAACCCTGTGGGGCTGGTCCCCCCTTCCCCCGGGGAGACCCTCACTGCCCTGCCTGCAGCCCCCGTCTCGGCCCCACGGAAGGACACGGGGCTCCACACGGTAGACTCGCCGCAGCACCCCTCCCCACGGCACAGCTCCGTGTCTTCCCACCTCTGCTCAGTTGGGTAAACTGAGGTCCTGCCTGAAGGGAGCAGCAAGTGGGGGGCCGGAGCCGGAGTAGGGGTGTTTGTGTAGGGAGGAGGTGCTCAGCTGCAAAGGCTGGAGGTCAGGGTGCAGGAAAGGCTCCCACAGCCTCACCCATCAGATGCTACGGACCCTGGTTCTGTCCCCACTAACCCCACAAAACGTATGCAAATGTATGCAAAGTGCCACCCGGGCCCCGCCCCTCCCGGCCCCCGGCAGCAGCTGAGCATGCACTCAGACGCAGCGGGAAGGCGCTCCTACCAAGCCCTGGAAGGTGTCGCCGATGGCCTGGGCGTCCAGGCCCATCTTCTGGGAGCCGACCCTGCGCTCAGCACCCCGGAACCGCTCGAGTGGCCTCAGCACCTGTGCCATGTACTCGCGGACCACATAACGGTGCGCTTCCTGCAGCGTCTCCTGGGCAGTTGGGGGGTCGGGGTCGGGGTCAGGGTCCAGGGCCTGGCTTCGGGCATGAACCCACCAGTGCCCCTTGCCTTCCAGATACCTGCGCACGAAGTGGGGTCACGTGCTCCAGGTGGTGGGCAAAAGCCACCACCTTGTCCATGAGGGGCTGCAGCACGTCCTGCGTCAGCCAGGCCTTGGTGCACAGGACCCTGAAGAGTGGCTGGGGACAAGGACGCAGGGCGGGAACCTTCCAACTGCGCCCCACCCCCACCCAGCAGCCCCTCCCCTGGCCGCCCAGTGCAGGGCTCCGACGGGGGCATTTCAGGCCTAGGCACAGCCTGTCAGCAGGAAGGAACTCTGGGGGGCTCCCTGATCCCCTTCTCTATGCAGTAGCTCGGTGACACGTCTCCAACCACGAATTGTGTCACTAGGCCCTTCCAGGGGCCCCGAGCTCCAGGGCCAGGTTTTAGTTTGAGCCTCTAGCCGGGCCTTGCTGGGCAGGCGAGGTGCCTGGTTCCTGGGACCTACCATCTCCAAGAAGTGGAGACCCACCATCCCTGCCCAGCTGGGAGCTTGCCCGGGTTCTCTGCCCACCCCACCACCCCTGAAACTGCCCCTGGAATAAATGAATGCTGAGAATTGGGCCCCCAGACTCCAGGGCACGGGGGGCACCTCCTGGGCACGGGAAATAGGAAGAGAAGGGTCTATACCCCCTCACCTGTATGTCACGCTGCAAACCCTGAAGCAGCCGCTTCTGGAAGGCACAGGTGGCAGCTGCCAGGGGCTTCTCCAGCTCCGCAAAGGCTCCTGGGTACCTGGCCAGCAGACTGGTCCTGGGAAGGGCCCAGGGCAGGAGACAAAGTGGGCAAGGGGGAGCAGGCTGGGGATAACGCATGTAGTCCTGCAGGCTAGGGGCCATATCAGCCCCACTCGTTTAGACTAGAATGTGAAGGTCCCAGGGCCACACAATGTGTATAGCAGCCGGGGAGCAGAGTCAAGTGAGGGGACGGTGCTGAAGCCCCAGGAGCTGATCAAGGAGGGGCAGGCCAGCAGGATGAGGGTGGTGGCCCCACTGCACCGCAGCGCTCCCCGGTGGCAGCCTGGGGCGCACCTCCATCCCTCCTGGGTAGGGCAGCACAGCTGAGCCTGGCGCCCCAGGGGGCCCCTCTCTGAGCCTCATGACTGCCTCCCTGAAGGGGACATGCCCTCATTTCACTGTTGAGGAAACAGAGGCCGAGGCCGTGCCCAGTCCCCAGCACAGGGACACCGAAGGGGAGGCTAACATCCCGTCAGGGGCCGGGTGGGAGGCTGCCTGCCCACCAGGGGGTGGAGAATGTTCCCTGGGGCCGACCGGACAGGCCTGGCACAGACTGGGGGCAGGCGAGTGTCCTCGTTGCACCTGTGCTTCGGATTCGGGCAGGCCTGGGTCAGGTTCCCGGCCCAGCACGACCGGGCGGTGTGACCGTGGACAAGCGGCATTTCTTTCCCGAGCCTCCGCTTTCCCATCCGTGCGTGGGGACACCGCACGTCCGTGGGGCGAACCGCATCCCGTGGGCAGAGCACCCGCACAGCGCTGGGCTCATGGCAGAGGCTCTGGAGGCGCCAGCGGGAACCGGGCGCTCTGAGTCAGGGGAGCAGGTGCTCCCTTCTCCATCTGGCCGATGAGGAAACCAGGCGCCGAAAGGGGAACTGACTCATCCCCTAGGCGGCAGCAGCCAGCAAGTGCAGAGCTGGGGCACGAACCCGGCGTGGCTCGGAGTCAGAGCCCACAGCTGCTGGCGGTCCCGCAGCGGCTGGCGCATCCGCAATGGGGGGCGCCGAGGCTCGGCCTGGGTGTGGGGGCACAGAAGGGGGGCAGCCACTGCCAGCCCACGGGGACGGCCTCTGCCTGCTGGAGGCAGGAGGGCCCAGGCTCCAGCCCCAGCAGAGCCGCGCTTCCCCGAAAAGGGAGGGTCCTAAAAAGAAAGAGCGCGGGCTGGAAGGAGCGGAGCAAAGAAACAGCCCGCATCGACCGGGACGGACTGTGAGGCCCACCGGGGCGGCTGGCACTTTCCGGCCTCTGCAAACAGCCTTGAAACTCCCGCATCCCTTGCAGGGGGACTCGGCTTCGCGGGGCAGAGGGAGGACCCCACAGCCGGGACGGTGTGGGGCGAGAGGCGTTCCTGGAGGCCTCCTGGGAATTCCTCCGCACCCCGCCCACCCTACCCCGCCAGCTGCTGACGCCTGGTCCCAATTTGTTTCGCCCTTGCGAGCCAACGGCCACGTTTCCGGAGCTCGCGCGCCCCCTGCGGACCGTGCTGGGCAGCGCAGCGTGATGCCGCGGGAGACACGCACCTGAGCTCCTCGCAGGCGTTGATGTGGGCGCCCAGGAGCGGCTCCGTCACCGCCTCCGACTCCAGAAAAGCCTTTTCAAACCTGGGGGCGGGGTACGCAGAGTTCTTGAGGAGCCTTCCAGGCCACGCTATAACCCCGGGTCCTCCCTCCCCTCGGGACCCCCCTCCCCTCCGCTCCCCACCCTGGCGGAGGATGCGTGCGCACCTGCGCACGAAGAGGCCGAGCTCCCGCGCGCAGATCCGCAAGGTGGTGGCCTCCAGCTCCGGGGAGATGGCTCCCGCCGCCTTCACGTGCTCTGCCACCAGCTGCGAGCGAGGCCACGCCCTGAGCCCCGCGCCTGAATCCTGGGCTCCGAAGCTCAGTCCCCCACCGAGTGGCCCAGTGATGCCTCCAGCCTGCCCTGCTCTGTCGCACGGTCTGGGACCCAGCTTCCAGGGGCCTCAACGTGGGAGTCAACGCTCCCGAGTGCCCAGACCGCCCGCCACCTGCGGAGCTGGGAGCTGTGCCCTGGCGCTCGCTGCCTGGCCCTGCGACCCCCGAGTCCCTCGCCCCGCCCTGCCCTGCGTGGGTCTTCAAGCTCCTGTCTAAGGGGGAGGGGGGGTGAGAACTGGATGTTACAGCCTCGGACGCCCCCACTTCCAGGGAGACCGAACACCGCCTGAGGCCACACCTACGTCCCCTCCTCGCCCCGCTCCCGGGCCGCACCATGTGGACATCGATGGACAGCGGGGTGTGGTAATGGCCCTTCAGCACTTCCGGGGCCTCCGCGGCGGCCCAGAGGCTCTGCTCCAGCTGCAGGATGCGGTCGAAGCAGCTGGAGATCTTGGTCTGGGCCGGGCGGAGGAGAGGGCTCTGTGAGACCCTCCCAGGAAGGAGGTCCGGGTGTCCCCTACTTCCCGAGCCCCATGGCCTGCCCCCCAGAGACAAGGGCCACCCAGTCAAGGGGGCAACCCCCCTCTAGCGCTCTTCAGCGTTCCTGGGCCCCGCACCCCCTTATTGTGGGACCTTCCTGGGCTCAGCCTGACCCCGCCAGGCCTCACCTCTAGGAAGCTGGTGTAGTCGCTCTCCAGTTGGGCCCACACATCGGGTGCCAGGAGTGGGGGCAGCGGCTCCGTGGACAGAGTCAGGTCCGGGGCATCCAGGAAATCCGGACTGGAAGGTAGGGCGGAGGCTGATGCGGCAGCAGCTGCCTCCCCACTCCCCCCCCCCCCAGGCTCGAAGCCTAACACCATCACCGCCATCACCAAAGGGTCCCTGGGGTCTCTGGTCACACGCTCCACCCCGCATCCTGCCCTGCAGGATTCTGTGCCAGCCCCGCCTCACCCCTCACGCTTCCCACTGCCGGACTGCCTGGCACTAACCATTAGAACGGCTATCCAGATGGACTTTGGCCGGGCTGCCTCCGAAGTGATCTCTACCCTCAGGGTCAGGGTGCACCCAAAACTCAGCTCTAAGTGTCCCCAGTGCCACAACGCTCAGGAACCTGCCACTATCCAGCCCACGCCAGGGAAGCCCAGAGAGGGGCGAGGACCTGCCTGAGGACACACAGCAAACTCACTCGCCCGGGACTGTAGGCACCCTCCTCCTGCCCACTCTCCTGCCTGTGGGGCGGGCCAGCACTGGGCAGAGAGGTGGTCCACCCTATTAGACCACCCAGAGCCAGAGGCGGACCGGCCTGTGCCCTGCTCCCCGGTGGCCATCCGAAGGGGACAGTGGGGGTAAAATCCAAGCTGCTCTGAGCCCGCAGTCACGTCCTGCCTGGAGGGGGCGCCCTTTTCTGCCTCACTTAGAGGTAGCGCGGGCATTAGCACAGGCCCTCTGACTGGGTTCCCTGCCTAGGTAAGAACCTCCCCTCCGAGCTCTCTGGCTTCTGGAACCCAGGCACGGGTGGCCCCTCGAATGTCAGAGGCCCCTGGGAATCCCCGCGCCTGATCACAGCCCTGTCCCGTGGAGGAAAAGGAGAACAGAGGTGCCCTGCGCTGCTCTGCGCGGGCTCCTGAAGGCCTGGGAGGGCCGTCCAACCCCCCCCCCACCCCGCCCTCCGTGGCTCCCTGGCCGAGGCCTCACCCGCCGTAGACATTGGCGGCCCAGTCCAGCAGGGTGTAGAGCTGCTCGCAGCCGCGGGCCTCCTGCGCCAGCTCCTGGAGGCGCTGGGCCACCGCGTCGTGGTAGGCGCGCCGGTAGGTCTCCCACGCCGGGAAACCGGCGGCCGCGTAAACGGGCTGCACCTCCAGCTGCACCTTCTGCAGGTCGCGGCGAACCAAGCTGCCAAGCTCCGCCAGGAGTCTGGCCAGGTCCGACGCACCCTCCGCGACCTCCGAGGCCTCTCCGACGCCCACCTGCTGCACGCGCTCCTGCGCGCTCCGCCGCACCGCGTCCTCCCATTGCTGGCGCCAGCGGCGGGGCGTGCGAAGGAAGTCTCCGTCGGCAGGGGACCGGGGGTGGGCCTCCTCCTCGGCGCGCACCACGTGGGCCAGCTCCGCCAGCACGGTGGGGTCCACGCCCCCGGGGCCCAGCGTCTCGCGCACGATGGTGCCGATCTCGGCGCCCAGTGCGTCGTAGTGCAGGCACACGTCCATGGCGCGCCGCGCGAAGCCCGTGGGGTCCTGCTCAAAGATGTGCGAGGCTTTCTCCTCCACTAGCTGAGTCTCCAGGTGCTGCAGCTGTCTGAAGGCCGCCAGCAGCTGCCACTCGGTGATGAGGTCGGCCACGGATTTGCCTTTTTCCGAAGACAGGCAGGGAGAGGGGCAGTGAGGGGGCTGCCCCGAGAGGCCTGCGGGCCTGCGTGTGGCCCACCCCGGGCTGGGCGGCCCGGCCCGCAGCTCAGCTGAAGGTCTGCTCCAGGAGCCACAACCCCACCTGCTGGGGACTGCCCCCTGGAATGACCTCTGAGGAGGCGGGACCTTGGGCCCAAGCCTGGCTGAAAATGGCGAAGTGTGTCAGCCCCTGCCTCCTCACCCCCCACCTTCACCCTTGCTCCCACCGCGGCCCCGGCCCTGCTGAGCTGGCCCCGGAGGCCTCAAGTGCAGCCCTCACCGCCGGCAGGTCCGTGGGGTCAGCGCTCGGGCTGGGCGGGTCATGCAACGCCCAGGCTCCTGCCCCAGTGCCCAGGGCAGGTGTGGTGTGCCGCTCCCCACTCTGGGCCAGCCCCCACCCCCACGGCCCTCTCCCCGCCCCTGCGCACCCCCTTCAGGGCCCGGCCCCCGTGTGTCCTCTCCTGGGCAGCCCCCGGACCTCCCCCCAGGCACGTGCGGCTCCAGAGCACACTCTGTGACGCTGGGACCCCGGAGGGCCAGGGCCTAGGCAGTCACTCCAGTTCGGCCAGGACCCAGGAAGGCCGGGGAGCGGCCAGAGCTCCGGAGCCGTGCAAATCCGGGTTCGAGCCCCGTTTCCCCACCTCCCAGCTGGGAGACCCGAAGCCAGCCACCTACTGTCTCTGAGCCTCGCTCCTCTGAGCGCCCGCTGGGCGCTGCCCATTTGAAATGTGGGAAGAATTTAACGCACAATTGTACTTGTGCGGTGGGGGCGGGGCCGGGGAGCTGGGAGGAGAGCCTGTTGGGAAGCCTGGGCTGCGCCGTTCCACACTCTGGCCTCAGTTTCCCCCATGGTCAGCGTTGCTTGTCTGTGAAGCCCTCACCTGCCTCAGGTTCCAGTTCTTCAGGTACCGCCTTGGGGGACAGCTGCCGGCTGACACCATCGGTAACTGCAGAGGGCGCCTCCGGCCCGTGGCCTGCTCCTGGCACAGCGGCGCCCTGGCAGTGGTCAGCGGCTGGACTACCGTCCAGCGGGCGCCGCAAGGACCGGAACAGGAAGCGGGAGCTGCGTCGGAGCAGGCCTGGGTCCACCTCCGAGGCCTGGCCCAAGGCCCGGCTGGAGGCCCGCTGGCCCACCCGAGAAAAAGCCCGCCGGATGGTGCCCAGGCCGGGTATGGAGTCCTCACGGTGGGTGCTGGGTGCCTCCCCGCTGCTTGCGCGCCGTGTGCCTTTCACTGGGGTCTGCGGCTCCACAGGCTCCTTGGGGCCGTGCGGCTCCGGCCCGGGGCTCAGCGTCTGAGGTGTCGGCATCTCGGCAACAGGAGAGCTGGGGATGAAGAGGAGGCCCGGGAGGCGCCCAGCCCTGGGCAGCCAGTGCCGACATGTAGACAGCCACTTCTTCCAGGAAGCCCTCCCGGACACCACCTGCCAAGAGTCTCTCCCGGGGCCCACCTTCACGGGTTCTGCCAGGTCAGGCTCCCCATCAGAGCTGGAGGGGGGACAGGGCCTGCAGTTCTGCGGCCCAGCCCAACCCACAGCCCACGGCTTCCTGGGCTGGGCCCAGCAACCACATCCAGGACTTCCTGGACCTTAGGTCCTCAGACCTAAAACCTCCACCACCACCCAGAGTGTCGACTGTCCCCTAACCCCCCAGAGCCCTCAGCTCACCCCCATCAGCTCATCAGGACAAACTGCTTCTGCTCAGAGGCCCCTGTGGGCAGCCACCCCGTCCCAAACACTGGCCACAGAGCACGCTCGAGGGCTCCCCAGAACTAGAGGGGGGCGGGGTCAGGCTGGAGGGCATAGACGGAGGCCAGCTTATCGGGGACTTGCAGTCCTCAGGGCTTGGGGGGCTTGGTGGGAGGAGCCCTGGTCTATATTTAATCAGGGCTGGGGGTGCCCATCGCAGCCTCTCGCCCCTGACGTCTCTCCCACTCTGCCCCGCCGTGTGCTCTAGCCCCCATGCCATAGGGGATGGGGGGGTTCCTAGGGCGTGGGGTGCAGATAAGGGTCTGGCCCTGCCCTCCAAGTCCCCCCCGAGGCTCTGCCCCCCCTTTCCTCTCAGCCCAGTGGGGCTGTGCTTGACTTTCTGGCTTCAGGTCATGCTCAGGGTGGGAGAGAGGGGAGACCCTCCCCTGCCCACCGGGCGGGGGTCCCGGCAGGGCCGGTGCAAGGTTCCCCCCCAGCCCTGGAGAACCGAGGGCCGGAGGAAGGGCGGGACCTGCTGAAGTCACCGACCAAGAGGCTGGGGCCCAGCTCGTCCCCAGGTCCCCCCTCACCCGGGACACAGGCCAGGCTGCCCAGGCCTCACCCACCCACCCACCCCTCCAGTGACAGGTCTGTCCGGGGCCAGACGTGCAAGGGGGCGCTGACGCCTACCTTCCTCTCCCTCAGGCCTCCGGGCAGCTGGCAGGAGGGAGAGGCGGGACCGGGCGATTGAGGGGAGCCTTATCAGCCCCACCCCAGCCACAGGTCAGCGTCCTCCCTTGGCACCAGGACCTGCCCGCCCCTGACCGTGCACACCAGGCGGGGAGCATTAGGACATTAGGCCGGGAGCCAGGCCCAGCAGGGGCAGGAGCCAGGGAGCAGGGGGAGGGGCGGGTGCCGAGAAACGTGCTGGAGAGCTGCGCTCTGCCCGCCCGGGCTCCAGGCAGCTGCCAGGGGCCTGTGGGCAAGGGCCGGGAGGGCTCCTGGCGCAGCTGCAAAGAGCCCGCACTGAGCGAACCCCGGTGCCGGGCACTCGCGGCGGCCCCGAGACAGCAGAGCCGGAGGGTGCGGTCTGAGCCGCGGCCCAGGTGAGGGCACGGCCTCCGAGAGCAGTGGGGGCTCACCTTCAGCCACACTGCTCAGAGGTGGGGAGCCTCGCCCAGCCCAGGTCTGTCTGCACCCTGGGGGCGGAGGCCGGACTCTGGCTCCCCAGAGCCATCCAGTCGGGGTTGCTGTCCAAGGAACACTTTCGCCAGGCAGAGGGGCCCAAGGTGGGGGCGGCCCCCAGATGCCGGGAGTGGGGCCAGATTCGAAGGTTTCCCGGGAAGCCTGGAGGCAGATTCGGGGGGGAAAGAGAGGTAGCTGGTGACTGGGTGTCGTGGGAGGTTGCTTGGGGCCCACCTCGCCTGCTCAGCCACCCCGGTCCCAAACCAGAGCTACGGTGCAGGTCGCTAGGGGCCCAGCTGCTCCCTCGGCCCTGGGACCTGCTCCTGCAGCCGGAGCGGTTCTCGACCTTCCCAAAGTGCTAGCCAGCCAGGCCCCGCCCCCGGCCGAAGCCCTCCGGTGGCTCTCACAGCCCCCAGGCATTGCCTGCGCCCACTGCTCAGCGCTTGAAGCCCACCGTCCAGGACCGCGCTGTCTCCAGCCTCCCTGTGAGGCCTCCCTCACCTGCACCCGCCCGGCCCCCTGGGTAGCGGCTCAGCCCCACAGCCCGACCGGCATCCCGGCTTCCACTCAGGGTTTCAGGACCCAGGGGTGCCGGTGCCCTCCCCTCCGTCCGGGGACTCCCAGGGCTGTGCAGCACCTTCTTTCTGCTCAGGGCGCTTGGGATGGTCCCTGAGGTGATGGGCCCTCCTTACTGGCCTGGGAACCTCTGACCACCCGCTGTCTCCCTGTCACCCCCCGAGCTGGCCTGGAGGAGCAGTGAGTCTCAGGGGCGCCACTGTCCAGGCTGGCCTGGCTAGGGTCCACACCGGGGCCCACGGGCTGGGCTCTCCGCTGGCCCCGCCTTGGCTTCTGCCCTGTGCTTGCCTTCCCACACCGAGGAGTCTCTCTTTGGCTCTCCGTCCCCACTGGCCTGAGTGTTCAGAGGCCCTGGCTTCCGCATCTGGGGCTCAGCGCCAGCTGAGCTTCAAGGCCCAGGGAGCCCAGGACCAGCCTAAGTCCCGGGCCCCGCGCTCCCCAGCTCAGGCCGGCCCAGCTGCAGAGCCAGTGGAAGGGGCGGAAGTGCCGCCCTCGGGCCCTGTCCACTCAGGGCAGGCAGGTGGCGGGGGTCTTGCTAAAACATAAACCTCCCTTGAAATCCTTCCTAAAAATAAGGAAGAAGACAGGCGTGTTCTCACCATACTATTCCACCTTTGTTAACGCACTGAGGCAAGAAAAACAAATAAGAAGGATAAAGAGTGGGAAGGACCTGATAACACTGTCCTTCATAGGCAAGCAGCTTTGCTGAGCTGGCTGGTGTGGCTCAGTGCATTGAGCACTGGCCTGCAAACCGGAAAGTCGTGGGTTTGATTCCCAGGCAGGGCACATGCCTGGGTTGCAGGCCAGGTCCCCAGTGGGGAATGAGCAAGAGGCAACCAGTGTTTCTCTCTCCCTCCCTTCTCATCCCTCTGAAAATAAATAAATAAAATCTCTTTTTTAAAGAAAACAAGCCTATTAGAAAAAGGCACTTAAAACGCTCCCCCTTGCCCTGGCTGGTGTAGCTCAGTGGATTGAGCACTGGCCTGAGAACCGGAAGGCTGCCGGTTTGATTCCCGGTCGGGGCGCATGCCTGGGCTGGGCCACCAGTTGGGGGTGTTTGAGAGGCAACCAATTGATGTATCTCTTAAACATCTATGTGTCCTTCCCTCTCTCCCTCCCTTTCTATTTCTCTAAGTAAATAAATAAAAATCTTTTAAAAATTAGTGGATTGAACGCCAGCCTGCAAATCAGAGGATCACAGGTTCAATGACCAATCAGGGCCCATGCTGTGTTGTGGGCCAGGTGCCCAGTAGGGGGCATGTGAGAGGCAACGGCAGGTTGATGTTTCCCTCTCTCCTGGCCACCTCCCGACCGCGCCCCCCTGGGAACCCTGCCTGCAACCCAGGCATGTGTCCTGACTGGGAATGAAACCTGCAACCCTTCGGTTGGCAGGCCGGCACTCAATCCACCGAGCCACACCAGCCAATAAATAAAATCTTTTACAAAAAAATCAATGAATGTATCCTCAGGGGATGATTAAAAAAAGACTCCCCCTCCGCAGCAATAACGCATAAAACGATCAGGGCGTTCCCCCCCCTCGGAGCGGCGCAGGCCCCTCCTCGGCTCGCAGGGCATCCATCGCCCCTCGGGCTGCTTTTCCCACTCCCGCCACACCTCCCCTCCACACCTTGGCACAGGCCGCTCCCTCTGCCAACAGTGACCTCACCTCCACCTTCTCCAGCTGCCAGCTCCTTCAAGGCTCAGAACAAGTGGCTCCTCCCCCAGGAAGCCTTCCATGATCTGCCGAGCCCCAGAGTACGGTCAGCCCCTCCCGCGCTGAGCCTGGTCTGGCCCTGGGCACCCTCTCCGGGACTGAGGAACAGTGGCAGCTGCCCTTTGACCAGGTCACCGCCGGCCCCCAGGGCAGGGAGTGGCCAAGGAGAACAGATAAGCCACCCACTGGGGTAGGAGTGTGAGCCTGTGGGTGTGTCCTTACCTGTGTGTGTACGGGCTCTGCACCTGTGTGTGGGTCCAAGTGTGTCTCCCTGCGTGTGCCCCTGATCTAGAGCGTCTGTGCCTCAGGCCTGCGAGGGTCCTCCCTCCAGGAGTCTGTGCGGCTGTCTGTGCGTGCATGTGCGTCTCCACGGCCCGTCGGTCCGTCTGTCTGTCCGCTTCCTGCTTCTGTGTGCGGCCACTGTGATTAGCTGGCACTCCGGCCTGGACTCTGAGCTGAGGCCCCTGGCCCGGAAGGCCACCAGTGGAACTGCAATCGTCCGCAGTCCCTTGAGTCCCCGCCCACTGGCCACAGCAGGCCCGTGGCCCTCCTGCTCCACCCGCACCGAACGTACCTGCTGAGTAGGTAGACGCTGCGCCTTGGCAGGACACGGCCACCAGAACAGGCTGCCGCGAGGGGCCTGCGGAGCCGGCCGAGGCAGGGAGGCCTCTGGGGCAGCCAGAGCCGGGGACCAGCAGCTGGGACTTCCCAGCTGTGGCCAGGGCCTGCCTTGGCCCACCAGCCCCACCCCCAGCCCCACCCCCGGGCCGACCCCTTACTTTCACTTTCAGAAACGTTCCTACCCCTTCCCATTCCAGTGGCAATCTGTCCAACCTTTGAGTCCTGGCCGCCCGGGGCCCAGGCTGAGGTTCAGGGAGCGTGAACAGGGGCGTGCAGGCAGGCGGTGGCCGCTGCCGGGGACTCTGGCCACTGCTGGCAACCCCGGCGGTCAGACCCAGCCAGCCCGAGGCCAACCAGCCCACAACGGCCCAGCCTGGAAGGACCCCTCCCTCCAGGACAGAGGTGCCGGCTCCAGGCCTGTCTGCCAAGCTCCTGCCGAGAGTCCCTGCCTGGCACTGGGGGCCGGGAGGCCCGACCTGGGAGCGCAGACCCTCCCCCCACCCCGGGGATCAAGTCGGAGAATTTTGTGGGGTAACTGAGATTTCCCAGAAGAGGCAGACCCCGTGAGGTTGGGGGGATTCCATTGCCAGCGTTCCAGGAAATAACTTAGGGAAAGTCCAAGGAGAACAGACCCAGGCCTGTCCCACCTGGGCTGGAGCCACGGGGTGGGTGGGGGGTGGGGACAGGGACAGGGGAGGCGCCCCGCCCTGGCAGGGATGCTGGGAAGACAGGGACCAGCTCGTCCGAAGGCTCCCGAACACAGAACCGCAGGCTGGGCCGCTCGGACCACAGGGCCTTGTCCCTCCCCTCCCCGCAGGCTGGAGGTCGGAGGCCAAGGGCACGCAGGGCCGGGCTCTCCTGGGGCCTGTCTCCTCGGCTCGGGCTCGGAGATGGCCGTCTTCTCCTCGGTCCTCACATGGACTTCCTGCTGTGTGCGTCCGTGTCCTCGTCTCCTCTTCCTGAGGGGACCCCAGGCAGCCCGGACCAGACCAGACCAGGACCCGCCCCCCTGGCCACGCTTTGGCTTGGGCTGAGAGGCCCGTCTCCAAGCACAGTCACGTTCGGAGTCACGGGGGGTCAGGGCTTCAGCGTCCCCTGCGATGCTGCAGCCCCTCGCTGCTCTCCGCAGATGGGCCCAGGTGGGCCCAGAGACGCCAGCTCCTCCTCCTCCAGGAAGCCCTGCCTCCTCCAGGAAGCCCTCTGGAGTGCCACTTGAGCCATTAGCTCTGTGAGCCCTGGGCTCCCCACTCCGAACTAGGGTCGCAGGAGTCGCAGCTCAAGCCGGTTGGGTGGGCTTCGCCCCACTCAGCTGGCCTGCCTGCTGGCCTCTTGTCCCGTGCACCCGACTCCATCAGGGACTGACAGACGGGAGGGGCACACATGGTTCAAGGGACAGAGGGCGCATCCCCACGGGGTGGCCTCCCAGGGCTGTCCTGCTGGGGGCCCCGCGGGGCGGCTGGTCCCCACCATCTGGCACTGGCACACGGACCCAGAGAGACACAGGGGCCTGCTCACGGCCACCCGGCCGGCTGGACAGAGACCAGGCCTTCAGCCCAGTTTTCTGCCTCTGAGGCCAGGGCTATCCCAGGGGGACCGGCTCTGGGGACCCTGGGGACCCCTCAGTCTCACCCTCCTGTCCCCCAGCTCACGGGGCACGTCCCCGGACCTCCCATGGAGGGTCGCCTCCACTCGAGAGACGGGTCCCCGGAAAGCTGGTGGTGCCCAGGGCCTGGGGTTGGCCTGGACTTCTCCCCAGGTCCCAGCCACGCCCCAGGTCTGCCCAGGCCTGCCCCCATTTCCCAGCAGGAGGCTGTAGTGCTTCTTTTATTCTACTTCCATGGCGTTTTCCCCCCGGAATCCTGAGTAAAGACCCCCTGGGGAAGCCCCTGGCCGTCTGAGAGGCGCCTCGGGCCAGGGCTGGGCAAGCAGGTCAGGGGAGGGTGGACAGGAGGCTCCCGCAGGCGGTGCGGCTCGGCCTGGGGAGTGCCCCAGTCCGCCCCTGCGAGCGCCGGTGCTGCGGTTGGGGTGAGCGGGCTCCCCTCCCTGGAAGACCTGGCTCCCAGGGCAGGACAGGGCCCCTCCCCCATGCCTGCCCGTCCTCAGAGCTCCGGGAAAGCCAGGCTGCCTCCGCGAATGCAGAGGCCACAGGCGGCAGGTCCCACCTGCGGTGTTGCCGGCTGGGGCCGGAGACGCATCTGGGAGCAGGAGGCCTGGGCCGCGTCCTCTGTCCCTAACTGGCTGGGGTCCTGGGCCTCTGTCTGAGCCTCAGTCTCTCCAGAGATGAGGTGACCTGTCTGGGAATCCCATGGAGCAGCGACGGGGGGAGAGGCGGGGCTTAACCTTGGGCGGGGCGTCAGTCTCTGGCACCGCCCCCCGACCCCCAACCGGGACAGTCGGCCTGGCTCCGGTTGGGCTGGGCCCTGCCGGGTGTAAATGCTGGGGTCCCGCGGCTGCGGGTTCCCGAGCTGACCTGGGGAGCGGATGGCAGGGCTGGGGTGCTCTGCCTGCCCCCTGGGCTGCCTCCCTGGGTCTGACCCCCGCGCCCCAGCTCACCCCGCAACCCCGATTATAGGTCGCCTTCCCCGAAGACCTGCGCGGTTATTGCACGGCGGGCGCGCTCCGGAGCGGCACTGTGGGTGCTGCCGCACTAGGGTCTCCGGTGCACCGGGGCCTCCGAGCCCAGCTCTTTGTCAGCTGCCCGCCCTCGGGAAGGTCGGGTTTACAGGGGCGTGACGCTGCCTGGGAGGGTGAGGATGCAGTCTCCGTACAGGCCACCATCGCTGACCCCACGGTCCTCACCGGGAACGGGAAAGCCCCCCTCGGGCAGGCGCCTTGTTCTGCGTTCCAGGTGTCAGCGAGCCCTGGCGACACTTCCCGCGCAGTGTCTTCCCCCCTCCCCGCCCCCTTGGGGACCAGACCGGAAGGGCCTCCCTCGAAGGAGAGCCGAACACCTCTCCCACCGTGCAGACCAGGGGAAGGCCCGCCGAGGCGTCCGGGCTTGTGCAGGGGCCCCGCGGGCTCGAGAGGCCAACACTCCAGCAGGACCCCGGTCGGCCAGGCAGACCTTGGCACTTCGGCGCCCCCCCGCCTCCGCTGCATTGGGGCCAGGGGCTGTTTTCGGGAGGAAGGCAGGTTGGAGAAGGTGCCTGGTTCACCCCGGGGGCTGGCGAGGCCTGAGTCTCTCCTCCCCGTGCGTGCTCACTGGGCCGGCTCCTCCGGCTTGGGCCTGCTGACCTTTATGTCTCTCGGCCGCCTGCCAGGCCCTGGGCTCCCGCAGGCCCCGTGGCCAGGCTCGCCAGGGACAGGGAGCCAGGCTGGGAAGATGGGGGAGGGGTGGAGGGGTGGGGAGGGGACCTGGAGGACTCTGGCCCCCTCAGCCTGGGGAGGCTGAGGGGGACGTGAGTGCAGGGCCCCAGGCAGGCCCCTGGAGAGCCCCCCCCCCGGGCCACCCGGAGCTCCGCCTGCACCCAGAGCTCCCACGTGGCCTGCCACTCCGCACCTGGCCTGGTCCGCCCGGGCTCCGCGCTGAAGCCCTTGCCTGGAAGGCCACTGGCAGGACCACGGTTGTCCTCAGCCCCTCGTGTGCCCACCAAGCACGCCCACCACCAGGAAAAGCCTTTATTTCCACTTCAAACCACGGAACAAGGGGGGGTGGGACCCCCACGGGGGCCCTGGCCGAGGACGGGAGAGGACGGGGCTGTGGGCCCAGCCTGACTCGGTGGGGCCGGAGGAGGCAGTGGCCCGGCTCTGTTCTCTGCGCACCAGCCTGGCCACCTGGGACGCGGGTCCTCTCCGCCGTCGGAGGGCGATGGCGGGGTCGGCAGGGACAGCGGAGCCTGGCCACGTCCTCGTCCTGTTACTGGGCCGCGAGGGCCTGGCTCCCAGAGCCGGCTCGCCGGCTGCCAGCAGCGTCCAGAGCGGCGTCCCCTGGTGCTCCTGGCAGACTCGGGGCGGGGGCTGCAGGGACACCAAGGCCCCGTGTCGGTGGGGCTGCCCTCCCGGCGGGGCTGCAGGGCTGCGTGTGGGTAGGGAGGCCCCTGTTCCCCACGAGAAGGAGGGGCGCTGGGCGTGCACCTCTGGGTCCGGGGGAGGAAGGACCAGGCCAGGCTCTGGGCGCGAGGGCGGCCTCGGCCCTGACGCCAGAACAAGAGGTGGCAGACGGGAGGAGGCCAGGGCAGGCCGGGGACACCCCAGGACCCAAGTCCCACGCCTCCAAGGGGCTGCCCCCCGCTGGGAGAGGAACCTGACAGCAGGTGCAGGGCTTTGGGGCGGTGAGGGGGGCTGTGGCGTGGACAGGCCGCTTCTGGGCCCAAACTTCAGGGGGTGGCTGGCCAGCCAGGGCTGCTGAGGGTGGGGGCCGGGGCAGGGTGACATCTGAGGAGGGGAAGAGGGCAGGCAGGCACTAAGCAAACCCCGGTGGAGGCCAAATTCATTTCCTCCCCAGGGGACATATGCCCCCTCATGTGACCTGCGGAGGTCCCCTCGGCCCCGCCCACTGTGTGGCCTGCGTCTGGCCCTGGCTCCTGGCTGCACACCGCCTCCTCCGGGAAGCATTCCGGCCTCAGCCGCCCGGGGCCTCCCACCGGGGTGCCCGGGGGCAGGACGGGAGCCTGCTGTGGGCTGGCACGTCTGCCCCGCACGGGCACCTGGGCTGGGCCTGCCCAGCGCCCCTGCCCTCACCCCTTTCAGGCCCTAGGGGACAGCGCCGGGCCGGGGGAGGGAGGAGGTGGACGGGACGGTGAGGGTTGGGTGTCAGCCACTCATCCAGCAGATGCTCACTGCGCCCTCCTCTGCGCCCTGCGCCCAGCAGCAGGCAGAGGGACCTCGGGTGCGGGTGGGAGAGGGGTGGCGGCAGGCCCGGCGGTGCCTGGGCACCTAAGCAGAGGCCTGGCAGGCGGTGGACTGGGGTGGGGTGAGCAGGCGGGGGCGGGGGGGTGGAGGGCCCGGGTGCAGGGGCAGGCAGGAAGGAGGCCCCGCCCCTGACCCCTCCCCGTGGGCCCCCAGGCAGCTCTCACTCACCAGCAGCGCCCTGGATCTGGGGGGAGCCCCGCTGGGCGCCCTCGGGGGGCCAACGCAGCTCCCCGCTCTCCACGGCGCCAGCCTCGCTGGGCTCCACCACGATGGACGGCAGCCGCGGGCCCAGCCGAGGGCCCTGCTCCCGGGCGCCCACCGCAGCCTGCAGGCGGGGCAGGCAGGGGTCAGGGCAGTGGAGGCCCTGGGGTCCCCGCTCCCTCCCACGCCTGCCCTGGGGCCCTCACCCCCCGTGGGCTGTGCCCCTCCTCCACCCCACCCCACCCCTGGGGCCTGGGCACTTGGCACTTGGGGTCACAGCTCTCCCCGAGGCACCATGCACCCCCTTGGGCTCCCCCCTCAGGCTGGTCTCCCAGACAGGAGCCTGAGGCTGCAGAGGTCAAGGCCACACGGTGAGTGAGCCCAGGGACTCTGCGCAGCCCCCAGCTGCCTCCCATTTCCTGCACAGCCCCTGCTCCGGGTCTTCCCCGCCCGGCCCTTGGCCTCCTCCCTGCTCAGAGGAGCTGGGAGGCTGTTGCCATGGCTACTGGGCTCCTTGTTCAGTGCCCGCAGGAGTGCGGGGGCGCCTCCCCGGCCCCCTGTGCCCTCAGCGTCTCCGCCTCCCATTCAAGGCCTTCCACGGTGGAGGCTCCAGCAGCCAGTGCTGCTCCCCGGCCGGCCCTCCCCTCTCCCGCTGCCCAGGCTGGCCTGCAGGCCCCAGCCCCACACCCCTGCTCAGGCAGGTCCCTTCCAGGAGCTTCCACCACCACCTCTGTCACCGGGCAGGGCGGCTGGTGGGTGCCTGTCCGCCCTCCCCCAGCGGCACGAGGGCCTTGGGGACGCGCAGGCACTCGCCAGGCGGGGCTGTGCTGAGCTGTCCTTGAGCCCCAGCAGAGCCACCTGAACACGTGCTCAAATGCACATTCCCGGGCGCCCTCCCGGACTCTGGGCAGGGCCCAGGAATCAGCATTTTAGCCCAGGGCCCCAGGGGGCCTTGAGGTGTGAGAACGGGTGTCGCGGGGCCGGGCCGTCTGTGGAATCCGAGGACGAGCAGAGCAGGGGCCCCAGCCACGCCCCAACGACCGCAGCAGCCGGAGCGTCCCCGGTTTTCCTGCTGGCCTTCGGGTCCAGGGGCTATATCCCCCCGCTCCCCAAACCTTCCCTGCCCGCCATTCTCCGTCCTGCCTCCTGGGGAAGCCCCGCCGGCCCCCGACCAGAGGTGTCACTCTGCCCGGAGGGCGACCCCGGCCCGCAGAGCTCGGGGTTCCAAGGCCTGGGGCCCCCCTTCTGCTCCTGCCCTGCCGGGAGGCTGCGCCCGCAACCCTCTCTGCCCTGCACCCCCACGATGCTGCCCACAAGGCGGACTCGGAACACTAAGACTGTGCTCCTCGGGTAGCGAGCCCACTGTCAGCTGCATCAACACCCTTGTCCAAAAAAAACCAACCCAAAGCCCTAGAGCCAAGGGCAGGGGGCTGGGCATTGCTTCACCCAGCAGAGAGAAAACGGCCCGAGGGTCAAGCTCTGGGGTCCCCGGGGTCCGGGAGGGGTGCCGAGTAAGCCAGGGCAGCTCAGCCATCAGTCGCTCTCCCCATCAGACCCCTACATAAGAGCAAGTGCCTCCCCATGCAGATGGGTAAACTGAGGCACGCCCCAAGACGTGGGCCGGGACCGGAGGCTGGCTGCCTCCTGTCCCTCAAGACTGAGGACCGGCACCCCAGGGTCCCAACCACATACCTTTCCTGCCCGGCCTTCGGCCTCCTCAGCTGGGCTTGGCTCCGGCACGGCGGGCTGGGGACCGTTCATGCTGCCGCCGCCGTGGGGCTGCAGGGGGACAGCACGCAGACGGACGTGCAGACAGAGGTGTGTGGTGGGCCGGAAGCTGGACCCCACCCCCCTCCCGGAAGCCTCCCACCGCTCCAGCCGCCCCCCCCACCCCCGCACGAGCCTGGGCCCGGCGCCCACGGCCCAGCTGGACCTCTGTCAGCATCAGCCCTGGCCCCAGCCCACCACCGGGGGGGGCCCGATGGGCACCGGCCTGCTGCACGAGGGGCAGCGGGCAGGGGCGGGAGGGGTGAGGCTGACCCAGCCTCAGGACCCACCGGGGCTCCCCCGAGGAAGGTCAGCTGGTCTGAGGCCCGGGGACCGCGCAAGAGGCGGCCAGGCCAGTGGGGAGGAGAGGTGTTCTGACCGGGAAACAGCGGTGGGGTGGGGAGGGGTGTGGAGACGGGAGGCACCCACACGGGTTTCCGAGGCTGGGAGCCGCAGGGGCCCAGTGCAAGGCAGCCAGGGGCAGAGGCGCCAGCTCCTCGCTCCCCCCAGAGTGGACACCCCCCCACACCTGGAGTTGGGCCCTCAACCCACAGCAGAAGAGAGGCCCTGCCTGCCTTGGCCCGGCCTCGGGGCCAGGTGCCCCGGCCTCGGACGCCCCACCTGAGGCAGCAGTGGGGTGGGCCCCAGCAGGCAGACGCCTCCCTTGGGCCCTGCTGTGGGGGGAGCCCGGCCCCAGGCAGGGGCAGGACTGCTGGGGGGGAGGGGGGTGGGCCGGGCAGAGGGTAAGCAGTGATGGGCTCTCGGTGACCGGAGAGCGAAATGCCTGGGACTTCCTGCTGGTTGTGGGGGGCGTCCTGTGGGTGCCCAGCAAAGGTGGGGAGCGCTATTCTGGGAAGTGAGGTTTCTTCCACCAAACACCAGACCCGGGACAGCTCAGTCCCCACTGAGACCCAGGGGAGGAGAGGGGGCATCTGGGGCAGAGGGCAGCCAGGCCACGCCCACCGCGACTCCACCCAACCCCACCCCCCGAGCACCCCGGGCCGACTGCTCCCAGCTCTGTCCCTCCAAGGAGCCCCTGCCGCGATCTCGGTCCAGGAGCCGGGACCTCTGCTGGAGCCCAGGGCAGCCGGGACCGAGCCGGGACAGATGAGAGAGAGAGACAGAGACAGAGACAGAAGAGGCGGCGCACCGCCGGCCACAGACAAAGCCGAGAGTTCCCCGCCGGAGAAGGACGCGGAGAGAAGCAGCAGACCCACAGAGGGAAGGACAAGGAGCGGAGAGGGATGACAGTCGCAGGTGGCAGAGCCCTAGCCCTGGGCGGAGCGTGGGGGGGAGGGGGGGTGCCCGGCGGAGAGCAGCGCAGCTCAGCGCCTAAGGGCTGCCTCCCCGCCCCGCGCCGGGCTCCAGCGCCGGCCCGGTCACCGGCCCGCCCAAGGCTCCCACCGCCCACACCTCGGGGGGCTCCCAGCTGTGTAAGGCCAGTTGTGGGCGCCGCTCGCGCCCAGAGCCTGGCGCCCAGCAGCCGAGGGCTCACCGCGATCCCCGCGCCGGCCCTTCCCCCGGGAGCTCCGACTCAAACCCCCTCAATTGTCCTCCTTCCTTCCCTCCCGTTCGCGCCCCGCCTGGCCGCTCGGGCGCACGGGGGCCGTGGGCTGGGGCCTGGGCGGGGAGGGGCGCCCTGTGCCCTGCGCCTCACTCACACTCACCGCTCGCGCGGGATGCCCGCTCCGGGGCCGTCACGCTGGGCCGGGCGCTGCTGGCCTGTCTCGCCCTCCCTCGCCGGCGCCCGCTCCCCGCTTCCCCGCGCTCCCCGCCCACACGCTCTCGCCAGCCCGGCCCCGCATTCACACTCACGCCCCTCCGTGCTGCCCTCCTCCCGGCTGGGCTCTGCTCGCTCGCAGGTAGGACGCCAGCCTCAGCCTCTTTGACAAGACCCTTCCCCGCCCCACCCCCCCGCCCCAGAACCTGACCACAGTCCCTTGAGACCCAGAGCCTCAAGTTCAAGGTTCTGGAGTTCAGGAGACAGAACTGGGCGGCGCCAGATACATAGAAAGAGGACACCCTAAAAACGGAAGGAGTGAGGAGGACAAGGAACGGTGGACACAGGAGGAGGGAAGGCCAAGGTGCGCCCGTGGGGGGAGGGCCACCTAACCCCTCCCTGCCCCTTCAGCCCAACCCCATTCCCAAAAAGGAGTGGAACAACCTGGGGCAGTCTCTTTCAGCCGGGCGCTCAGACCAGACCCCGGAGGCCAAGGTACGGAACCTCCGGTGTGCGTGGTTTCCCGAGGTTCCGCCCGTCCGCCTCCAACACCCACCTCCCACCCAGCACCCGGGGCCACCATCCGGCACCCACTTCCCCAACCGGCGTCATCTACCATGCAGCACCCAACATCGTCCCCAGCCACCAGCCACCAGCCATCACCCCCCTCCCCAAATCCAATCGCCGTCCACCGTCCGAACCGCAGGCCCCATCCATGACCGCCCTCCCCCGCCGTTCGCCAACACGGCACTGATACGCTGTGAAGACACCCGCCAGCCCCACATTCGCTCGCCGCCCCCATGCACCGCCCGTCCGTCCACCCGCGGTCACTGGTCACTGCCTGGCAGCTTCCCCTCAGCATCTAACCACTCTCCGTCCACCCACCGTTCCCTCACCTGTCCACCACAGGTCCGCTTGTCAACTGCCGACCTACCGGCTACCTGCTGTTTATTCATCCAGATTCACCGCCCCCCCCCCCAATCCACTAGCCCCCTCCCACCCGATCAGCCAGTTCACCTGCTGGCCGGCACACTGGGCCACCACCAGTCACTCACAGCCCTTCCCCCGCTCCGAGTTCTGTGGGTTGCACAACCCGCCGACCGCCTTCCCGTCAGCCACCGCCCACCACCCACCCACCCACCCACGTCTCCCCTCCAGTCGCTGTCCACCTCTCCGCACCCTCTCCTCATCCAGCTGGGACGCACTGTTCATCCCAAACCCGCTCAGGCGTCACCTGCCACCCGTCCCTATTTACCCAACTGGAAGATTTACCGAGCGCGCCCCCCCACCCCCCTCGGTGCCAAACATTGTGCCCGGAGCTGGGGCCGGAGCGCGGGGAAGCGGCGAGCACCCGCCCCCCACACCGCAGCCGCCCTAACAGCCCACTCGCCGCCCGTCGGCCCCCCACGCTAGCGCCCTCCCCCGGCCGTGTGCGCCCGATACGCATCTTCGTGCATCCCCCGCCCGCCCCGCCCCCCTGCCGGGCGTCCCTCGTCCTCCGTTCGCACCCCGAGCCATCCCCGTGCCCAGCCCATCCTCACATCGTCACTGCCCTCCCGTCGCCCCACCTTCTTCGCGCGGCCCTTCTCCAAGGAGCGGCCCCGGACCCTTTAACCTGCACCCACCGATCACGCGACCATCACCTGTTCACCCCACGCCCACCTGCTACACCCTCACCGCTCACCCCCCCGCCGCCCGCCCCCGGGCAGCCGCCCGCCCACTGGCCGTGTGTCCCCCCATTCACACACCGCCCAGCCGCTGCCCGCTTGTCCGCCGCTCACGGTCCACTCGTCACGCAGTGCGTCCCCCTGGGTCTGCATCTGTCCCTCCGTTCTCCAGGGGCGGGCCGTCGCCACCACCCACCTGTTGTCTATTTACCACGCACCCCCGGCTCCCTGCACCCGGCCCACGACGGGCTCCCTCGGTGTCTGTCAGCCCGTCAGCTCTGTGGGCACACCATCCGCCCGTCTTCTGCCCGGCGACGGCCGGCCGGTCTGTCCGCTGTCGCTCACCCAGCTGCCACGGCACAGATGTGCACACGGCCCACCGGCTTCCTCCCGCTCTCGTGCGGACACTCGTCTGTCCTGTCCGCGGTGCGTCCCCTAACCGTCCCCCCTCCCCACAGGTACCATCGCAGGGTTCACCCGAGAAGTCACCTCCCGGTCCAAACACTCGGCCCTGCCACCCGTCCGCCCTCCCGCCACCTTTCCTCCATTGTCCTGTGTTCTGTCCTCCCGCTGTCCACACACACAGGCCTCAGCTGGCCGCTCTCCCGCCCACCCACCGCCGCCCAGCTCCGCCCCTCAGCCAGCCGGCCGGCCGTCTCTTCGCCATTCTCTTGCCCATGCATTCACACACTATACACTTACATACTGATAAATAGTAATAGTAAACATTTATTTTTTATAGTGCTATCATTTTTAGAGATTTTATTTATTTAATTCTAGAGAGGGGGAAGGGAGGGAGAAAGCAGGAAACATCAGTGTGTGGTTGCCTCTCACAGGGCCCGCACCGGGGACCGGGCCCGCAGGAACCAGAACCGGAAAGCAATGCCTGTGGTCACTGCCCAACGCCCAGACCCCTCCCTTCAGCACCGCCTGTGCTGGCCTGCCCCCCCCCCGCCCCCGAGGGCCACCTCACTCCTTTCCACTTGGGCAGGAATCGCACTCTGTGCTTGTTAATAAGGGTGCTAGCTGTCACCTAAGGCGCTGGGTGTCATCCAAGGTGTTAGCAACGGGCGTCACAGCTCCTGGGGGGGCGTCACAGCTCCTGGGGGTTGTTCTTGCGCGGTAGAGCTCCGCGGTGGAGCAGAGAGCGGGGGACAGGAAGCCTCTTTTCGGATGGGCCTGCGGAGTCAGCCTGGAGGCCCATCTTCGCCTCCAGCCTCCCATTCCGCGCCGCCTCCTCCCTCCCGTCGCCCCTGCCCGCAGGAGCCTTTCCGCAGGGGCCGGCAGATCCGGAGGCAGCAGCCGTGTCCTGGCCTCGCCCGGCCCGTGCTTTGTCCCCGGGAGGCCCCGCCGCCCGCCCCGGCCTTCGAGTCCCTGCCAGTGCGGTAGGAGGATGGAGGGGGCGGAACGAAGACCGAAGACCGGCCGCCTCTGACACTGGGGTTGTTCCTTCCCAGCGCCCTCGGCCACACATTCCCTCTCCGCGGCGTGCGTGGAGGGGAGGGCAGCGTCCCCGGGCGGGCCGCGGGTGCTGCGGCCGTGGGACCCGGGCTCCGGCCAGGAAGGAGGCCCTGGCGCCCTCTTGTGGTCACCTGCGGGTACAACACCCGGACTCCGGGAAGGTCGCCGCGGAGCACAGCGGCAGAGCGGCGCTAGGGCGTTCCGCGGAGGGGCGGTGTGCGCACCGCGGTCCTGCACTCTGCCCTCCCGCGCTGGCCCTCTCTGGTCCTGCGCCTCTGCCGCTGGTGGGCTGGTGGGCAGGAGGTCGCGCGTGAACATCCCAGGGGAGGAGTGGACGGTCCTAGCAGAGGCGTTTCTAAAAGGCCAGAGTACACGGCAGACCCCACCCGGGAGCGAGGCGCAGAGCAGGGCGCCCTTCCCAGGGGTCTGGGGGCCGCAATGCGCCCGCGCACGCCGAGCCCCAGGACCAGCGGGGGGCAGGGCACCTCCTCCCAGTGAAGCTGGACTGGGGACAGGGGAGGACCCTGGCCTGTCCCCCGGGCCTGCGCTACTGCAGGTGCGAGTCTGACTAGGGGGCCGGGTCGAATGGGGGCCTGAGGCGTGCGCTGCGCTGACAGCCGCTCACCGGGGAGCACGGGGCTTGGAGCGCCACCCGGAGGAGAGGGGCGGATGGGCATCGGTTCAGGCGGGCTGGGCCCGTCCGAGAACTGTGGTCTGGGAGGAGGTGCGGCGCCTGATTTCCCGCCTGAAGGACGGACGGGTGACCTGGGAGAGATGCGGATGGCAGCGACAAGGCAGCCCAGGTGTGGGGCCACGCGAGGGGGTGAGCTGGAGCTGCTGCTCTGTCCCGCGTGGGGGGCAGAGAGCCGTCGAGGCCACGCCACCGAAGTCACCCACAGCTGGGGCCATCCCACTCCACCTGCGCCCCCCCCCCCACCGTAGGGGACAGCGTTGCCACCTGCCCTTCCGGCTGTGCTCGGAGAGGCTGAGGCTGCGCAGGGTTCACGGGCCCGAAGGGGTGGGGCAGGGTTCTCATCTCCAGCCTCCGGAGGACTCGCCCCCTGACTGCCAGGGGCAGAAGGCAGGACCCACCGGGCCAGCCTTGGAGACACCCCAGGTCTTGCCACAGGTGACCACCCCGTCCCCACCCCACCGCGCTGCACTCCTGACCGCGGAGGTGGCGACAGGTCCTTCTCTAGGAGGCGTGTGTAGTGGGCAGTGACCGTCATGAGCCACTTGTTTTGTTTTTTAAATCCTTACCAGAGGACCTTTCCTCATTACTTTCGAGTGTGCGTGTGTGTGTGGGGGGGAGGGGAGATCTGTTGTTCCACGCACTGATGCATTCTCGGGCTGACTGTCGCTTGGGCCCCGACCCCAAATCGAACCCGCAGCCTTGGCGCGTCCGCAGGAGCTGCCCCGCCAGGGCGGAGCCACTTTCGTGGAACACACACAAAGTTGGCACGCGCCCCCTCATGCGAATGTAGGTTGTGTCGCACGGAAACGTTCTGGAAGGATGCCAGGCATTGCCCAGGGGCTTTGCCTCACACCACTTGGGTCGTGGGGACCCTGAGGACGGAGGAGGCCCGGCGCAGAGACGCGGAGGAGGCTGCGCCGGGCCGCAGGGCTGAGCGGGAGGCGGGGCTGGGAGTGGGAGTCGGCACCTGCCGCGGGCTGCTTCCGCCGGACTGGGCGGGCCCTGGGCCGCGCCAGCGGCTGGGGGAGGGGGCGGGGGGAGGGCCGCGGCTCTCCCGCTCCGTTGCCTCTTGGTTGGTGTGGGGTTGGAGGCCGTTAACCCCGTTCCCGGAGCAGGCTCAGACGCAGACCCAGAGAGGGAAGGGGCTTGACTCAGGGCTCACAGCGCAGAACTGGGGCGTCTCCCCGGCCTCTCCTGCTTCCCAAAACCCGCTGCCCACAGGGGAGCCCTGGAGTCGTCCCTTCCCCCACCCCCGCCCCGGGGCGCCGAGTCCTGGCGACCGCGAGATGGGCGTTAGTCAGAAATTGCCCGCGCCGGGGTAGCCTGCGGTGCAACCTGCGCTTCGAGCCGGCGGGAGCAAAGACCCCCTCTCGACCCCCCTGCACGCCTCGGGAGAGGCCTCAGCAAAATCGGGGGCCCAGGGGGTGGGGAGAGCAGTTCCGGCACCAGCCCCGTGGGGGCTGGGCGGGGCTCAAGGCCTGAAGGCCTTGCGTTCAAGGCTTGGGCTTCGGCTGAGAGGTGGGCCTGGCACCCGAGATCCCGCGGGGTCTCTGAGCCCGGGAGCGGTGTCCTGTGGCGGCGCGGGGGGCGGGGGGCGGGGGGGGTAGGGGAGGGAGGAAGCTCACGCACGAGGTGCGCCCCGCCCAGGTCCGGGCACCTGCTCGCTCTACCTCCCGCCCTCTCCCGGGTCCCAGGAGTTCCGGTCTCCCTACCCCGCCCCCGACTTCCAGCGGGTCATTCAGCCTCGCGGGCCACCCTTTCCTCGTGTTCATTCACGAAACCCGCGGGGCGACGCCCGCCACACCAGGCGCTCCTCTGGAGTGAGAACAGAGGCCCCCAAACCTGAAACCCGGCGTGTGCGCTCTGGGCCGCGCAGCGCTGCGGGGGAGGGTGGGGAAAGGCCGGAGGAACTGGTGGGAGGGGTGGCCCGGGCCCTGGCCCTGGCCCTGCCCGGAGAGGCCCGGAGTCCGGACTCCCAGACACGAGTCCCTAGGGGTCCCTGCGCATGGGGTCTTAAAGGCCAGTTTCGGGAGGTTATCTGCTGAGTTCTGCGAGGGGCTGTGAGACCCGTAAGGATAACCGCCAGTCTGATAACGAGGTGAGCCGTGGAGAGACCCCTACGCCCGCCTGCGCATTATCTCAGTCCGCAGGTGGGGCACATCACCACTGCGGGCTCGGGCAGCGGGGTGGAGGAGGAAGCGGGGAGGGTTCATCTTCCCGGGGCTGTCAGGTGAGGCCGTGCTCTGCGCCGCAGTGTCCCAGCTGGAGATGGGCCATGAAGATCCTCGCACCCTGGGCTCCCTCCCTCCCTGCTCACCCAGCCCTGGGGGTGGGGCTCCAGCAGGCTGCAGGTGAGAGCGCACCTCGGCCGGCCGGAGCAGAGGCCCTCAGCACCGTTCCGGTGGCTCTGGGCCAGGGGGTCGGCAGTGCGTTTCTGGCAAGTGCCCAGCAGCTGATGGTGCTGGTTGGGTCGGGACCACAGTGAGATGGACAGGGTGGACGGGGCGGCCAGAGGGGCAGGATTGTCTGCAACCTGCACCACCCCGCCGCCTCCTCTGTGCACAGCCCCGGCAGAACAGGTCGGCCTTGCAGCCTGGGGCTGTTCCTGTGCCCGGGGCCGTGCCCAGGCCTCCGCCGGCCGCACAGGCTGAGACAAGCCCTAGCTCCCATATTGACCCCCTGATGTCCCTGAGCAGGTCTCTCGCCCAACCGGAGCCTCAGTTTCCTTATCTGTGTAATGGGCGGGGACGAGGCTGTGTGGACCATGGGGGACACAGAGAGGCCGCTGGGGTTGGTGCCCGCATGGGGGTGTTCTCGGGAAGGGGACACCGGCCTGGGCTAGAAGGAGGCGCCTGCTGCTGTGAGGAAAGGCTGGGCCCCGCAGGTGGGGGTGGGGCTGGGGGCTGCTGAGCTCCTGGACTCAGGAGCGGCCCTGTCGTTTACCAGCAGTTACTCCAGTGCCTTGAGCACCCGCCGTCTGCTCTTCTGGAAACAGGGGGCCAGTCCCGTCCCCCCTTTGAGGACCCTGGCGGGTCGGTCTGCACAGTGCTGAGCCTGCCCAGGGCACTCGGCCTGTTTGCACCCCAGCCTCAGGGTCCCCCCCAAAGGGCCCCCTGCTCTGGGCCCCGCCTCCAGCCCCCCTCCCCTGGCCCAGCCTCCGCAGCGCTCCCTCCAGGCAGCAGGCGACTCCCCTCAGTGGTCTGCAGGCTCCTCCTGGAGGTGAATTCTATGCCCCTTTGTCCCAGAGGCAGCGGGGAGCTGCGGAAGGCTTCTGAGCTGGAGGGAGATGTGAGGATGGGGGAGACTGCTCTCGGGGCAGGGGAGAGCCGCAGCCGGGACCCACCGGGGGCGCACCAGCGGTGCCGTGTTGGGGGCACTTTGTCTCCCTCCCGCCACCATCACCACCGTCATCCATCGTCGGGTCGGTGTCTGCTGGTACGAACGGATGACTGTCTGCAGGTAAGGTGCCCTGGGTCACTGCAGGCTGGCCCCCTGCCCCCTGCCCCCTGCCCCCTGACCTCGCAGGAGGAAGTCTCACAGAGACCTGCGGGGGAGGGTCTCCGCCTGCTCTGCTTCCAGCCAAGGAGTCGGGGGCCCAGAGTCCGGCCCGGCAGTCCAGTCCTCTCACCCAGCCTGCACAGCGCTCATTGTGGGCAGCTCCTGGGCACTGCCGGGGTCGCGCTTGTGGATGCAGGGGATGTCCCTGCAAGGACAGGCAGGGACAGTAGGGGGGGAGGGCTCGCCCCAGGGTGTCAAAGAAACGGCACACTGGAGAGTGCCCTGTCTGACCTGTCCTCCCTCCTCCCGGCCACCCTCCTGCCTCTTCCCTTCTCACACACATACCCGGTGGGCGCCTTCTTCGTGCCTGAGCCTGGCAACGTACCGGCTCCTGCCCCTGACCTTCGGACTTCTCCACGTTGTCAGCTAAGAGGTTGGGGACGAAGAGAAGCACCCTCAGGAAGAGCCGTGGCCCACAGGGTCAGGTGGCAGGAAACCTCAGGAACCACTACCAGGGTCACAGGGGCCACAGGACCAGGTGGTGGTGACCAGCAGGCAAAGCTGAGCCCCTGCACTGCCTCCCACTGGCCCAGCCTCCCCCACCCCCCACCCCCCACCCGGAAAGCGGCGCCTTGCTTTCTTCTCCTTCATGTCTCTGGCGCAGTTGTCGCTGCTGCTGGGGGGCCTCCCTGCGCTCCCCGCCTGCAGGGCAGGCCCACCTCCTCGCCATCGCTCACGTGTCCACTTGCTTGGCAGCCTTCACCTCGCTCCGGGATTCTCTTTTTCCTGGGCACGGGTCTGTGGGCTGTCCCCAGGCTCGAGTGGACACTCGGTGTCCGTCTTGGCCGCCGCTGTGCCTGGGCACCTAGAGTGGTGCTGACACGTAGCAGGAGTCCAGAAGCTTTGGGTTGGTTGAATGAATAAATGTCCATCGTTTCTTAATGGCTACGTGAAATTCCATACTAGGCACGCACAGTTATTTATCTGTTTGTCTACTGACGGACATTTAGGTTTTCATCACTTTAGTCACAAGTAACCCCGTGATGACGACACTGCCCACGTGAGCATATGAGTCAGAGCCCCAGCAGGGCCGAAAGGACGCAGGGCAGTGGGGACAGCATCAGTGTGGTCTGTTTATGGAGGCCGGCAGGGGCTGGGGCAGGGAAGGCACGGGGGCTCCCGAGGCTGGCAGGGCCCGGGGGCTATGGCCAAGTCTCTGGGTCCTCTGGGGTCAGCAGAAGGGCGGGGGCAGAACCTGGGGACAGCTGCTCCCCCAGAAGAGGGGCCCAGTGCCCCCCTCCCATGGGCACAGCCCATTTGGGGCACAAAGCAGTGGAGCGGGGTGAGGGTGGAGCGGGGACCTGGACGGGCAGAGGTGCATGTCCTCATCACCCTGGTCCTCTAGGGAATGTGTCCACAGCCAGGGCACACGATGTCCCACCGGCTCCTCATGGCTGTGGATGACCACACCTGGGCAGGGCACCGACTTGCAGCCTGAGACCTGGGCACAGAAGCACTCTTCAGATGAGGTGGGGGGTGGGGGTGGGCAAGGGGGAAAGTCCCCTGTAGGTCGTCAGCCACGGCCCTCCTCCTCTGCCGGCTCCTCAGCCGCACTTTTTTTTTTTTTTTTTGTAGCCTTGGTGGGAAGACCCAGAGGGACCAGAGGACCCGAGTTCTTTCTGGGCTTGTGGTCATCAGTGGGCTCTTCCCCTTTTCCCAACAGAAAAACCACTGAGTGCCACAGGGAGTCCGGGGCTCCTCACCCGGCCCCCCAGGAGGCCCCCAGGCGTAGAGCTGACTCAAGTTCCCTCTGACACCTGGGACCAGTGTCCAAGGCAGCACAGGGAACCCAGAACTGGCCCGTGGGCAGGGGCCCCCACCACTTCAAAGCGTCAGAGGCACCACTGTCCCCTGATGGAAGCAGTCGTGCTAGGACTTGAGCCCTTGCGGAAGAAGTTTACCTGCCTCTGGTGCAAAGGAAAAGACAAGACAGCCTCTTTCCTCATTTTGGTGTAAAACACCCTGAAGAAGTTCTCTGATTGGCCTGGCTACGGTCACACGATGACACCTGATCAGGGTTTGGAGAACGGAGCAGCTGGCCCTCGGGGACATGTCCACCCTGCACGGCGGCTCCTCTGGGACTCCACGATCAGAGACTCACAGGGTGTGGGGGAGGAGGAGGGGTGTCAGGTGGACAGACACGAGGACTGCCCAGCCAAGGAACAGCGACCTCTGTCCAGTGTCTATGTTGTAAAATGCACCAGGACGCCACATTGGAGTCTCAAGAGACAACAGATGCGGACTCTCAAATGAGCTGTCAGGTCACCGCATGTAGACTGTCAAGGGCGATACCCGGGAGCCCGCCCCAGACCTGGAATAAGGGGTGAGAGGAAGAGAGTGGGCCTGGTAACGTGGTCGTGCTGGTGCCCAGTGTGTGGGGTGTGCTGGCCTTCACCTGAAGCCTAGCTCGGAAACGGAGGCACAGAAAGATTTCGCTTCCAAACCCACAGGTACCTGCTCTGCAGAGAACTAAGGACAGCTGCAGGGGGGACTGGGCCTGATCTGGTCCAGGGAGTTATGCAAGGCTGCCCTGGACGGATCTGGATTGGGCCAAGAAAGGGCAGCTGGGGAGGGACATCTAAGGGGGAGGGACGTCTAAGGGGGAGGGCTTGGCAAGTGCAAAGGCCCCCAGGCAGGGGGGCACAGGAATAGTTGAGGCGCAGCACGGAGGCTGCTGAGACTGGAGTCAGAGACGGAAGAGGGTGAGGACCAGGCAGAGGGCAGCGTGGGGCGGAGCCTGTTAGGTCGGCAGGTGAGAGGATGCACGGCCCTAGTGGGGACGTTGTGGGGACAAAGGACGTCATTACACTCTCGTGGGGTCAAAGACAAAAACGGGGGCCATTCCAGACAAGTTCAGACGTCAGCCTTTTCCTTTTCGTCTCCCCCTTTCGAGGTCTTACACACACACAGTAAAGTGCACACATATTGAGCACGGTTTGATTGGTTTATTTATCTACAGACCCATGCAACAAGCTGTGTTCGTCTGATCAGGACGCAGAAGGCTCCCTCACGCCCCTTCCAGTTCATAGTCCCTCCCCCAAGAAACCGCTACTCTGCCCTCTACTACCAGGGATTGTTTTTGCTGGTTTTCAAGAAATTGAGGTGTGATAGTAACGGTGATATGCACCGCTCTTCAGCGCACACTTTGGAGACTTACGTGTCTGCGCCCCTGCGTAACCGCCACCCAAATCAACTTCCAGTAGCTCCGAGCTCCCTCCGGGCCCTTTCCATCCATACATCCACGGAGGAAGCCATTCTTCTGGCTCCCGACTCCGTGGGTTAGTTTTGCTACAGGCTCCTTTAGTTCTCCGCCAACCCTTTATCTGCGCCCCCACCTGCTCCACGCTGCCGCCCTGCCCCTGCTGCTGAAGCTCCTTCCCCTCCCCGGTCAGGGTTCCCGCAGCCTTGCACCCTCGCTCCCGCCCTCACGAATCCATGGCCTCGGTGACCTCCCCACGAGTCCGAAGCGCCCCTTCTCTCCGGATGCTACGGGTCTGTCTGGGTGCGGGTAGTCTCCGTCACCCTCCGGCCCCGCCGCCCAAATGAGCCAACGACCTCAGTACCACCAGCGACTCGCGCTGGGCAAACCCAGGGTGCGGACAAACAGCCGGCCGCTTCTTTCCAAACTGCCACTCTGCGACATCTGTGTTCGCGGGAGACCGAAGGTGGACACTGGGACTGGAAGAGGCCGTTGAGGCGGGCACCGCGAATTCACCGGACGCCGGGCTGCCGCCTCTCCCGCAGCCCCGCCCGGTCCCGGCCTCAGTCCGCGTCCTTCCAGTCCAAGGTGGGTCCACGTTCCCAAAGGCCGCTCCGGGCTCGCAAGAACCCCGGTTAAATCCCGCCACAGAGCTGCGACTGCGGGGCGGCCCCGAAGCCCCAGGACGTCCGGGACTGCTCCGAGCCTCGTGCTGCCCTGGAACCCAGAGCCGGTGCCGGGCCGGCTCCCGCACCCAGAGAGCAGGTCCGCGAAGGGCCGTGCACGCCGCCCGGACCCCCTCCGCGCAGGCGCCGGCGCCGCAATCTCGGCGGCGCACTGGCTCCTCGCGCGCCCCGCCCCTCCCGGCCCCGCCCCCGCCTTCCCAGCATCCCGGCCTCCCTACGGCGAGCGGCGAGGTCCGATCCCGCCGGGAGCCAGGAGCCGGGACGCAGGGGCGGGGCGGCGCGCTGAGGTCAGCGCGGCGACGGCCGGCCCCGCGGTGGTTGGCTGCACCCGCGCTGGCCGCGCCCTGGTTGGCTGCGGGCCGCGGGGCTGGGCCGCCGGGTCGGGACTGGGGTCGGAGCTGGGGCGCCGGTCGGGCTCGCGCAGCGCTCGGGTCCGCTTCTGTCCAGGGCGGCGGCGGCGAGGAGGGCGCGGCCGCGGGCGGGGCTGAGGCGAGCAGGCGGGGCGGGCCGCGTCCGGCTTGGAGGGCGGCGGCGCCGAGGGGAGGAGACCGGTCCATGGACCCGCGGGGCCCGGCGCCCCAGACGCTGCGCCGCCGGGACCGAGCTCAAGATGTCGGCCTAGGCCGGGGCGCGACGACGCGGACGGGGCGGCGACGAGGTGCTGCCAAGGCTCGCGGCCGCCGGGTCCCCGAGGGCTCGCCCTGACGGACTGGCCGAGCGGGCGGCGAGAGGCGGGCGCGTGGGGAGCGGGCCGCGCGGCACCATGTCGGCCAAGGTGCGGCTCAAGAAGCTGGAGCAGCTGCTCCTGGACGGGCCCTGGCGCAACGAGAGCGCCCTGAGCGTGGAGACGCTGCTCGACGTGCTCATCTGCCTGTACACCGAGTGCAGCCACTCGGCCCTGCGCCGCGACAAGTACGTGGCCGAGTTCCTCGAGTGGGGTAAGTGCACGCGCGCCTGACCCCCAGCCCCGCAGCCCCCCGGCCCCGGCCGGCCCGGCTTCCTCCCCACCCTGCCTCCTCCTCCGCGCCGCCCTCCCTCATGCTTCCTTCCACCCGCCGCCCGGTTTTTCTCTGGCCGCTGCGGTCCCTTCGCGGCTCGCGGTCCCTCCCTGCGCTTTTCGGCCTTCGCACATCCGCGTTCGGCCGTCCCGCCCCCTCATCCTGCCCCCAGGAGCCACATCCTTCGTCACCACCCCCCCCCCCCACCAGGCCATCGCCCCTGCTGCTTCCTAGACCCACCCTTCGAGTCTGGATATCATTTCCTGCAGCCTTGCCTGGGATATCCGCCCCCGCCCCCCGCTCCCCGCGCGGGGTCCGGAATCGGCGCCCAGGGCCGCCCCGCACACACTCCGCTGGCTTGCGGGGGCAGCCGCTGCGCTTTCCCAGCCGCCTCCCGCGCCGCCCGTGGGCCCCCCAGCCTGGGCGCGTCTCCTAGGTGACAGCCAGTCTGCGTCCCCTGCACCGTAGCACCGCCCAGGGAGTTTTAAGGTTAACAGCCCTATTTTGAGTACACTCTACAAGAGCAAATTGATTTTTTTCTTTGTGGTTGCGCCAGATCCTTGTGATATTTGGGGGGGGGGGTGGTTGGAATTGCCTCTACGTGGAAGCCGTTTAAAAACTTGATCCATCCGATCTCTGCGTGCCGTCTCCACTTCGTTCAAGGGTCTCAAGTGCCGTAGTCGTTGACCACCTGCCCTGAGAAGCTTGACTAGGGCACAGGTTGGGTTGAGCCTTGTAACGACCACCAGATCCTGGAAGGCAGGGTAGAGGGAAAGCCTTCGGCCCCCCCCCGCCCCCGGCGTGGGCGCCCTGTCAGGGCCCTCACGCACCTGAAGCCGGCGAGACTGGTGCTGCCGGCGCTCAGGCCACACCTGCGAACCTCCTGGCCCTGGGCCGTTCGTGCCATTGGGCTGGGGCTGCGGCCGGAACCAGTCGTTTCTGCCCTTCGGCCGGCAGGGCTGACCTTTATTTACCCGAGGA